TAATAAATAGATAATGGATATAGGGGGAAATGAATATCACTTGTTACTGTAGAAGTGATAATCTGAGGGCAAACCATGAGATGGGCACAGATGAAAAATATTGCTAGGATTCAGTGTCGGTGACCGGGAAGTAGCTGCTCTCACTGGTTTACAGCTCAGTGCTGGCATTATATCTGACTTAATCCTCTTGGGGGACTAAGTCCTCCATATCTGTAGAGACCACATCCTGGGAGGACAGGGCCAAGGGGCAGCCCCTGCCACTCTTATTAACAAAACCCTTGGTTCTGGCTTTCATGTCATTAAAATTGTCTCACACGGCTGCTCTTAACAGGATAGTTGGGACAACAAATAATTACTTTTTCAAGCCTCTGTATGGAGATAGGAAACAGGGGGGGGGAAAGAATTAGAAACAAGTTTTAGAGTCTAGGGTTGTAGCTCAATTTGTAGAGGGCTTGTCTAGTATGCGCAAAGCCCAGGTTCAGTCACCAATGCTGCATAGAAGAGGTACGGTGACCAACTGTAATCCCAGAAGTCTAAGGTCATTGACTACATCCTGAGTTCAGGACTAGCTTGAGCTATGTGAGATATTGTATAAACAAAAAAATAAACAAGTTTAATTTGATAAACCTTCAGTATCTTGCTTTTTCCTGACTACAGGTAAGAGAGTAAGCATGATTGTACAAACTATAATACATCTTGGTTAAGGGAAAGCCGTTTGGATAATTGGTTAAATCTGTCTGCATTTTAAGATGAGGAGAAGACTATAAATAACCTGCTATCTCTGGGATCTGGGGAGGAACTGAAATGGTGGAGGGAGATGTTAAGGCTTTACTCTATATTTCTATCTTATTTACTTTAAGAATAAAGTCCAACAGGCAGAGAGATCTTGCCTCAAACAAAGTAAAAAAGAGTAAAACAGACAACAAATGAACAAAGAAAAATGACACAACAACAGCAACAAAATCTGCAATAAAGTCCCAGAGCTGGAGAGACAGCTCAGCTGGCTCAGAGTACATGCTGCTCTTCTAGGGGACCTGAGTTTGCCTCTCACCTCTCTCCTCTGTCCGAGGATCTATTCTGCATTCCTTCAGATTATTGAAAGGATGCTAACTAGTCCATGGGAATTTTTTTGTGGTCTGGTGAATCTGGTGAATATATTAGATATTTTGTGGTTTATTATATACATGTGTGTGTGTATATGTGTGTACATACATATGAACCACATATATACCATATATATGATTTACTTGACTTTTTAAAATTATGTGCATGAATGTGTGCACTGGTATGAAGTACCCATGCAGGCCAGAAGAGAGCAAGGAATCCCTTGGGACTGGAATTGTAGTAGGGTGTCAACCATTTTACCTGGGTGCTGGGAACTCCCATCAGGTGAGCCCCACAATGCTTTAACAGTTAATACATATTTCTTCAGAGGTGCCTGTTTATAGACTTTAAAGTGCCCATGAGTGGAGGGAATCTCTAGGATGGGAGACAATGTGTAGTTCTCAGTGTAGTTGATCTCACGTTTCTTTTGAGAAACACTGTTGTCCTGCTCAGGAACTCACATTGAGACATAATGATGTGAGAGGGAAAATGTGCTTAAAGCTTCTGGCAGTGTCCCTGGTCTTGCTCAACGCACACTAGCTGTTACGTTTCTTCCTTACTTCCAGAAATGAGCTTCCATCCGAAAGGGAAAACCCTCTCGGTGCCCAGTTATTAACTTTCCCATTCCTAGCCCTGTCTGGTCTCCTCAATCTAAGCAGCACCAAGACTGTCTGATGATAGTTTTTTGGTCACATATATGTACCTTGAAAACCTGTGTCAGGCTGGTGAGATGGCTCAGTGGAGCACCGACTGCTCTTCCAGAGGTCCTGAGTTCAAATCCCAGCAACCACATGGTGCCTCACAACCATCTGTAATGAGATCTGATGCCCTCTTCTGGTGTGTCTGAGGACAGTGTAAGCTACAGTGTACTTATATATATAAAATAAATAAATAAATAAGTCTTTAAAAAAAAACAAACCAGTGGCTGTGTAAGTCATATACACAATCCTCTAGCTCGAATGGCTGTTACCTGTACATTGCGCAGTTCAAACTGCTTAGATAAAACTAGCTCAGGCTGAGTTTGAACTGCTAATCCTCTTGCCTCCATCTCCCAGGTGCTGGTATTACAGGCGTTTGCTAGCATACCTGGCACTCTATCCATTTGTACTGGTGGAGAAAGTACTGGAAATGACATTGTAGTCATTTTCTATCCAAGCTAAAATTAATCACCATGAGCTTGGAAGAGTTAAATCAACTCTTAGCTGGACTAGTAATAACATCAAGGTATAGAAAAGGCTGTGTTTCTTCTTTGGGAAGAACCTCTTTTGGTTCCTTTCTTTTCCAGTTTCTAGAAGCCTCTGGATTATGGGCCTCATGGTTACTTCCCTCCATCTTACCTTCAGAGCCATCAGGGACTGCTTGTTGTCACCATAACAATCTGATCTCTTTTGTGATCTCTCTCCCTCTCCCTCTCCCTCTCCCTCTCCCTCTCCCTCTCCTTCTCCCTTTCTCCCTCTCTCCCTACCTCCCAATAGGGTCTCAAGTAGCCAGGTGACCTTGAACTCCTGATCCTCCCATCTCAAGGACTGGAATTGCAGTGATGTGCTCCTACACAAGGCTCCTGAGACAAGATAGGGACAGTTATGAGGATCTGGGGAGGCAGAAGGGCCACCACTCTACCTCTACCATTTGATTGAAATCTCTCTCTCCTCTCTCTCTCTCTCTCTCTCTCTCTCTCTCTCTCTCTCTCTCTCTTTTGCGCGCGCATGCCTATAATGAATGATTCCAATGCAATTAGTATTTGCTGTGAAGGTTGCCAATGTGGAGATGACATTCTTTATTATTATTATTGGAAAGTAAGAAAGAAAGAGAAAGTAAGAGTGCTTTCTCCTTAAAAAAATTTAAAACTGTATTTTTATCTAATGTGCGTGTCTATGTTGTGGAAGTCAGAGGACAACTTTTAGGAGTTAGTTTGCTCCTCTTATGTAGGTCTCTACAACTGAACGCAGCCCTTCAGGCCTGGTGGTGGGTACCTTTACCTGCTGAGCTATCATGAACAGGAACACACCACCTCTGAGACAGGATCTCCACAGAGAGGCCTAGAACTTGCAGTCTTTCTGCCTCTACCTCCTGAGTGCTGAGATCACAGGTGCGGCCATCCCCAGCTATAGGGATGGCCTTTACTGTGTTGTGTTTTGTATGTTTTGTAACCCTGGCTGGCCTGGAACTCACTATGGAGACTAGGCTGGCCTTGGACTCACAGAGACATTTGTCTCTGCCTCCCAAGTGGGATTAAAAACATGTGTAACCACACCTGGCCTAGTGATGGTCTTTAAAACATTACATGTACAGAGAGAATGTTAAAACAGCAATGAACTATCCTTAAGGATTAAGCCCTGATGATTAAGTACGGCCTCACTCTTCTCCCAGATCTCAGAAACAAGGCTAAAGCTTTGTTTACAGTAAACACATTACAGGGTTCCCCTTTTTTTGTGACCTTGGTTTTTACCCATCTGTTATGTTTCTACTCACCAAACAAGGAGCTGCCCTGTGATCTCAGATTCCTCAGCAACTCTCTTAACCACACCTTTCTTTCTGAGACCCTCACTTCCTCTCAAGTATAGAGCTTAGAATCTATATTAAAATCTCTTCTAGTAAATTCTGATTGTCTCACATTGGATCATCCTGAAATGTTTTCCTGCAGGTCCCTAATAGATAAGGGAACTCCTCAGACAGCTGGTGGCAGTGTGGAAGAACATCTCGTTCCTGTCCCTGCTGACAATCCTCCTTTCCAACTTTGGAAAGGCCCTCAGAACAACCCTGAGCCTACTCAGATAATCGAAGATAATATCCCTGCTTAAGGTCAGTTGATTACCAATTTGAATTCCATTTGTAGGCTGAATTCCTTTTCCACGACCAACATCTGTTTCCCAGGAATTATTAGGTGACTATCTATGCCTCTGTGTGTATAGAGGTGGGAGTGGGAAGGGGCAGAAGACAGCAGGGCCAGCCTGGGCTACCTTCCGGGGTACACAGTGGAGTGGAGTGTAACCACCTCAAACAACAATAAGAACAAAACAACTACGAGGGGATGCTGTGGCATATTTCTTGAGTCTTAACACTGATATTCGCTAAAATGGAAACTGCCATTCTTCTTGTGTTAAATTTTATTTAATCGGGCTTAGCTCGAAGGCGAGAAAATAGGACTCAAGATCTTGATGAATCTTTATGAGGAGGGTGGGCGAAGTTCTCTTAATGACATCTGGAGATAGCGTGAGAGACTTCTGGAGAGATTGAGTGGGTGAGGAGTGCCTATCCTTAACTGAAGCTGAGGGCATAAAATTCCAGCAAAATATATCAAGTAACAAACTTCCTCCAAGGTTAAGAAAAAAAAAAAAAACCTAAGAGTTTAATTACTAGGTCTCCATATAGCAGATACTACTGAACTGAAGATATTGATTAGCGTAGTCTTCATACGTAAAGGCTACACGTGGTTCAATCCAAGAGCAGATATAACGAGATTGTTCTATTATTCAATATGAATTAAGAATACAGTCAATAATGACAGACAAAAAGGTAAAGAGCAGGTTCCACCGAGATTTGAACTCGGATCGCTGGATTCAGAGTCCAGAGTGCTAACCATTACACCATGGAACCAACACGGAGGCCACCCTGTCTTGGGATGGCTAATGCTGACAAAACCCCGCCCCCAACCGGACGCCAGGCACTAAGAGACCGGCACTTCGTTTCCCTGAATGGTTGGGTGAAGGACAAGCCAAAGGCTCCGGGGACCATTTTAAGATTGTTTTTTTTTCCTGTAAGACTTCCCAAGCTGGGTGAGAACGCGGAGTACACTCCTGCGCACTTCTCTCTGCCTAGCTCATGGGCGGGGCTCCACTTCTCCGGAAGTACTTTCGGCGAGGGGCTGGGGCCTTCCGGAAGTGACGCAGACAGGGCGGGGCTCTTCACCGAGTCCGGCAGCTGAAGCTCCACGCTCGGGTTACCCCTGCAGCGACGCCCCCTGGTCCCGCCGTCGTTGCCACCGCCGCTCCCGCCCCTCAGCTCCTCGGCCGCGCCATGGGCACCCGCGACGACGAGTACGACTACCTCTTTAAAGGTGAGGCAGTGGGCCACCGGTAGCCCATTTGGGGCCCGAGACACTCCCGGGGGGACCCGCGCAAGGCCAGCCCTGCCCTGGACGGAGTCCGCCTGGGCGCTTCCTTCCTGCCGCCCCGACGGGGGTCCCGCTGCTCGTCCGGGTTCCCGCGCCCTTGGGGGAGGCCTGTCGGGCCACGGCGCCCCTCGCTGTGTGTCCTCCCCGGTGGCTGCGTTCCTCACGGCCGTGCAGTTCCTTCCCTGGGCGTCTCGAGCCCCTCCTCTTGGATGTGTGCTGCCGGTCTCACATCGCCCCCCCTCTGACATGTCGGCTGAGCACCCATGTTGGGACACCGGCCGTCTCTATGGATTTTATTTTATTTTATTTTCTGTTCGTTTCCCTTCCCTTTCCTCCTCGTGAGCCTTTCCTGGGCTTCGGCCAGATTCTCCCGTCCTAGGTCCCCCACCCCCATCCCCGCAGACCTCGAGGTCAGTACCCGCGGACTGTCCCCTCCCTTCCCCACAGACGGGCAACTCTGTGGTCTCTCCTCTTCACGTAATGTTTGGCGCTCCGGTGCGACCTGGCTGGTGGGAGGGAGAGGAAGGGAGGGCGAGAGGGGCTGTCCATCACTCCTGGCGTTCGTGCACTTGTCGCAGTGTCTAGGCAGGCAGATGACTTCCCACCTCGCGTTCTTTTCCCCCCTTTCCTTCTCTTGTCCTTGCCCAGCTACAAACCAGCCCGGGATAACGCCTTTACTTGGCTTTCGAGAAGGGGCTGCGGATGGGTGGTGGCTGTTATCCCTGCCAGACCTGAAGGCCCAGTTCCTGAACAGGAAAGGTTGTGCGCTGCACAAATACTAGCTAGCTTATCACTGTGGACTGGTTGCTTCCTGCTGCAATACTGGGAAGATCCAACAGGAAGGGAAGAAGAACCCTGGTCGGTCACATACCTTTCCCAAACGGTGGGAGAGAGGGTTCTAGTGCTAGCGTGCTCTTTTAGGCAAATCAAGAATTTATTACAGGGTAGGGGGGGAAGTGTGGAGCCCGGCGAACAGAACATGGAAGGATGTAAATAGACACTTGCTGATTGGTTGAGTCTGCGAAGAAGCCAAAGTGAAAGGATACAGTTCTCAGTGAAAAGAGAGTAGTACAGTGAACGCTTTTTGCTCATGAGTGGGCTCTCACTTTCATAGTCTTGCTCTGCACCTGAATTAGAAGGGCGGCCATCAGTAATTTGTTGAACAAAGATCATAACCAGAGAGGAAGAAGCCCTGGCTGTTAAATCTTTCCTGTGGAGGGTGGAGTTTCCAGAGTGTTAAGCATGGTGAACGTTCCTGGCTTTGCCATTGGGTGCTAAGAATGATTGACTAAGTGGAGAAGCAGGAAACATTTCCAAATACTTTACAAGGCTTGGCATATTAGCTGCTGGTACACCCTTATCATTAGTTACTCTTCCGAATATTCTATTTATAGGGTAAGTACCTTCAGTGTCTATCCTTACTACCATATTGGAAAGTAATGTATAGATAAGAAGGCACCAAACTTTAAAAATACAACCAGGAAAGCAGGTTGTGGTGGTACAGGGCTTTTAAAATGCCAGCATTTGGGAGGAAGAGGCTGGGAGTTCCAGTCCAGCCTGGTCTACAGAGTAAATTCCAGGGCTACATAGTGAGTCCTCGTCTTTAAAAAAAAAATAAATAAATAAAATTAAACCAAATAGGAGACCTGGGATTTTTTTTTTAACATCTGAGATTATGTGAAATTACCTAAATCCTAAAGTTTAGTCAGTCAAGAAAGGTTTATTTTTAAGTACTTTGTAATGCCAGTACCTTTTGAAGTCATTTCTGTTAATTGGTTTGGAATGTGAAGGTTGGTTATAGAAAGCTGTTTATTTTTCCTAAGAATGTTAATTTATCCTAGATTGGCTGAAGGAATTAAAGTTTAAATTTTTAGATTAGACCGTCCTATGATCAATGAGAAAAGACGGGGATTTTAATGTTTCTTTGCCTTGTGGCCTTGGAAAAGTTAACTTTTTAAAAAGTATTTTTTTTTACTTTTTGAGATTATGATATAATTATACTATTTCCTCTGCTCAACTTTTTTGGGCCTCAGTTTCCTCAGTAAAGGAAATGCTGTGATAGTTTTTGGGGAGTGTCAATAAGCAGTTGTGTAGTCAGACTTTTAAAATTTTGTAAAAATGTATTTATTGATTTGTGTGTGCTTATGTGTACTATAGCACACGTGAGGGTAAGAGAACAAATTTTGGGAGTCAGTTCTTTTCTTCCACCCCGCCAGTCTCAGGGATCCAACTCAGGTACTCAGGCTTGGTAGCAAGCGTCTTTCCCCACTGAGCCACCTCACTAAACAATACATCTTTTTAAATTAAAGAGCATGTAAATTTTAATATAGAAGCACAGAAGTTAGAAACTTCTGAATTATTTTGTATCTACGTGAGTTCAGGTTTTATTTTTTGTATACTTTGCAGTGTGAGACTGGTTGTTTAAAAATTCTGCTGAGAAGAGTTTCCACTTTTTAGAAACTGCTACAGGATATGAGTCACTTTATTTTTTATTTCAACACTGATTACTTAGCCAATTTTTTACTTATACAATTATTTTAAAATGATTTCATTCTACAGAGATTTTTTCACTAAGATGAACTGTAGCATTTTCTGCTTTGGGGAAGAGTAACCTAGCACACATAAAGTTAAGGAAACTGGGGTTTGTACATTGGGCATGAAGTATGTTTATTAGCATGGAGTGGATTAGTCTGACTGGGAATGTAATGTGGGCAGATGAGAGCAATGCTGAATGATGTATTCTTGAAGATTAATTTTTACTTAAGCATGGCTGTTTAAAACCTTTTAATCTTGTACATATACCACTGTGGTTAAGGTGTGGGGCACAAGTGAGGTAGCTGGGTACCAGGAAAGTCAATGTCGCACTTTCTCGACACAGCTGGGTGCATAGTTTACCTCTGCTGGCTTTTTCTTTTGAGTCTCATTGAAGTCAAGGTGTCATGAGTCATCAGCTGATCATCAGTAGCACCGTCTTGAAGTTGAGGCTCTGTAGTTTCTCTTTCACAACTATTGGTTTAGCAACTCAGATTCTGATGACTCTGGAAGAACTTGTCTAGACTTCAGCTTTATTGATGCATTTTATTTTAAAGAGTTGTTGAGGTTGGACTGTGAATGTGGTTGAGAAGAACAATCTTTCAAGCTTTTGAAAACCAGTGTGACAATAGTGATTTCAGTTGGTTAATTTTAAAGCTATATTCTGTAGGTTCGGTGAGAAGTTAACTTTTAGTCCAGAAAATGAGCTTACTAGAGAAGCATAAAACTAGATGTAGGCTGAGCATGGTGGCTTATGCCTGTGGTTACAGTACTTGGGAGGCCGAGGCAAGTGGATAGCCATGATTTTGAGGTCAGCATGGGCTACAGAATGAGACTGTGTTTTAGAAACAAACAACAAAAGCAATAGCAAAAATACTTAAATGTGATTAGAGATAGAAACTAAATTAAATATAAATAAAAAGATATGTATATGCACATACACACACAGACTCTGCTTTTACAGTATTTAACAGTTTGATATTTGTGGTGTGTATAGTATATAAAGCATATATGTAAACCTATTTAACATAAGTATTAGGTTGAGCTTCAGTAGATGAGGCTATCTAAGTTTTGGGGGGGCATTATATTTAGGAATCCTATTGCCGTCCAGTATATAGGTTTTGTTATGTCCACCCAGCCTAGGATATTAGTAACGGATATATGAAAATGTACTGAGACTTCCTTTAAATTCTCTTTGCATGTGTTTATTTACTTATCAGTGTGACTGTTTGTATGTTGGGAGTGTATGCTCTGGTGAATGTGTGGAGGTCAGAAGTCTGACTTCTCTATCCTCAGGTTTGGCAGCAAGTGCCTTTATCTGCTGAGCCATCTTGCGTGCCCAGAAATTGATTTCTTTAATTGTTGGATATGAATACATAGTATCCCACATTTTTAAAAATCCAAGGGGCTGGTGGTAAATAAGACCTCAGTGAAAACTAATGTGCTTAGCATTAGCCTTAGGTTTTTATTAGATCCCCAGCACCACTGGGGTTTGTGTGTGTGTGTGTGTGTGTGTGTGCAATTAATGTTGTCATCTTAATGAAAATATTTTGCTTTGAAATTGTTTAGTTTTGAGTCAACAAACAAATGTCCATTAATTTTTGTTTTTTTAAAGAATCATTACCACCGGGCGGGGGTGGCGCACGCCTTTAATCCCAGCACTTGGGAGGCAGAGGCAGGCGGATTTCTGAGTTTGAGGCCAGCCTGGTCTACAGAGTGAGTTCCAGGACAGCCAGGGCTACACAGAGAAACCCTGTCTCAAAAAACCAAAACCAAAAATAAAAAAATAAAGAGTCATTACCAATGACCAATGGTAATTGGTCTTTTGTTTGTTAGATAATTCCATCCATCTATCCAGCCATTGATCACTTCTTGCTTTGGTTAGAAAAAAGAAATAGCTCTCCTTATCATGTCACATTTCAATATCTTTTTTTCATCCTTACAAAACTGGAATCTTGGGTCATTTAAGGTATCCTTTTCCTTTGACAAGTTGCTAGTCTTTGGAGATCTTGTCAGTAACTAGTTGATATAGCTATTTTATATTGTTAGATCATTTGTGAATTTTGAATTGTTTAAAAACTATTGCTATTTTTTAAGTAATAAAAATTTAAAGTAAGTTAAATATTAAAATTAGTTGGTTACATGGGGGGTGCAGGCTCTTCACTTAATACAGTATAAAGATTTGACAATGATGAGATGGTAAGTTTAGTCGTTAGTCAAGTAGGGGTCAAGACACAGCCAGGGAGCGGCAGAGATGGCGCAGCAATTAAGAGCACTTGTTACTCTTGCAAAAAGAACCTGGGTTCAGTTCCAAGCACCCACAACCATTCTTAACCCCAGTTCCAGGTGACATGACAAGCATGAATGTAATATACATACATGCATGTAGGCAAAACAGTCACACACATAAAGTAAAATTTAAAAAAAAAAACACCCCAAAATGTAAGAATAGCTAATACTTTAAAACAGAGCGTGACTTAGTGCTGGAGCTTCTGTGGGAGGTCTCCTCTCTGAAGGTGTTCCCCACCAAAAAATGGTGTGACCCAGGTGCCATGCTTACGTTTGCTTTTTTACTTTAAATTGTGAGTAGTTTCTGAATTACTATTTGAAGTTGGAGTGCCTGTGAATTAATTAGATGCATTCTAATCTTTGATTTTTCCTTCTGTGCTATTTCATACCTCAAGTGAGTGTTGATGCTAGTGTGTGACCAGAAGTGAGTCAAAGGAAATTTCCTCAGCAGATCATCCAGTCTCCGTCCTCCCAAAATCACACTTATTTATTTAAGGGTTTTTTGGGGTGGGGTGGGGCAGGGAATGGGCTCATGCCATGGTGTTCATGCACAGAAGTCTAAGACAATTAAAGAAATTGATTTTCTCCCTTCTACTGTGTGGATCCATGGGATTGAACTCAGGTCTTTAGTCTTGGTAGTATTGCCTCTACCAGTGAACCATCTTTCAGGCCTAAGTTTCTATATTCTTGGAGTGACTGAGGATTGCTATTCAGGAAAGGTATAGGAAGTTTTGGCTGAAGCCCAGACTAGGTTCTTGGCTAGGACTGTCTCCCTGTTCCCACCTAGGAGTTATGATCTGACCATTTAGTCTCTTATAATAAGAAACCACAGTGAGTGCTTCTTATTAATAAGGAGGCTCTGTTAATGTTGCTGGGATTCAACCTCATACCTACAGTATGGAGTTTGGAAACCAGCCTACTAATCATTCTGTAAATTGAAAGTACATTGTTTCTGTTTTCATGACCTTGACATCATTTTCCCTGGTATCCAGTAAAAGCATTTTGTATCTGTTGGCTAGGGTACCCTCTGATTGACTACAAAGACAGAATTATCTTCTTTGTTACATGGAGTCACTGTGCTGGGATTTCTTGCTGAATCAGCTGATAAAGGAGGCCAGAAAGATATGCATTTGATAATGCATGGTTGTTCTGGGGCTAGCTGTGTGTGCTTCTGTGACAAGAAAGGTGCACTCTCTTTTTCCCTTGGCTGGAGTGCCGTCAGCTTCATTTCTACATGCACTATCAAATGTTTTCAGTAAAACATGGCTTATTATTAGTCTGTGGCCTTAACCTTGTGTGTTGATTTTCTAGTCTGATGCCTAAACCAGTTAGCTAGTTAAAAAGCATTACTAGTCAACAGTAGAAGTAAATACAGTGTAAATAAATACCAAAAAGAAAAAAATCATGCAGGGAAAAATGTTGTCTGGCTCAGATTCTGTAAACCTCCAACCTCGTTTTGATCTTTAAATTTACATTTTAACCCAGCTTGTCTGAAGTTGGGCATCATGGTACATACCTATAATCTTAGCATTCTGGAAGCAGAAGTAAGAGTTTTGTGAGTTCTAGACCAACCTGGGTTCCAGATTGAGACCCTCTATTAAAACAAACAACTCGTTTTTCATTTTCCTGTCTTACCCAGCCCCCACAACCCCTCTCACCTCTCCCTGAAAGACAATGTTTCTGTGTATCCCTACCTGTCTTGGAACTTACTCCTGACCTCAAACTCGGAGATCCACCTGCCTCTGCCTTCCAAGTGCTAGGATTAAACATGCATGCCACTGGCAGGCTTTGTTTCTTTTTGTTTGTTTGTTTGTTTTGTTTTGATACTGGGTCTCACTTTGTAGCTCTTATTGGCCTAGAACTCTGTGTAGACCAAGTTGGCTTTGAACTCACAAAGATCTGCCAACCTCTGCCTTCTAAATGCAGTGCACCATGAAGTACACTTCTAAAAGAAGTATACCATGCCTGACTCTGAAGTTTTTATGTGTGTGGTTGATTTGGTCTACAGTTATGTCTCTTAACTTCTTGTATGCAGTACAGGCAGAGGCTAGAAAAAGGTATCAGATTCTGGGACTGAATTACAAATTGTTGTCTGGAGTTAAAGTATTGTAAGCTACCTCTGGGTACAAATACTCAAACCTGGGTCCTCTGGAAGGACAGCCAATGTTCATAACCACTGAGCCATCTCTCTAGCCCATGAAGTCTCCCTCCCTTTTAAAAAATTTTCTTCCTTCCTTCCTTCCTTCCTTCCTTCCTTCCTTCCTTCCTTCCTTCCTTTCTTTTTTTTTGGTTTTTCGAGACAGGGTTTCTCTGTATAGCCCTGGCTGTCCTGGAACTCACTCTGTAAACCAGGCTGGCCTCCTGCCTCTGCCTCCCAAGTGCTGAGATTAAAGGCATGTGCCACCACTGCCCGGCTTAAAAATTTTTTTTAATTACATTTATTGGTACTGGAGAGATGACTTAGTGGTTAAGAACTGGCTGCTCTTATAGAGGACCCAGTTCAGTTTTCAGCACCTATATTTGACTGTTCACTACTGTCTGTAACTCTAGCTCTCTTTTCTTCTGGCCCATACACATAGCATACATACTCATGTTTGTAAACAAAGAAAATTATATTCATTCACTTGTGTGAACTCCATAGTAGTATATATTTAATCTAAGTTGGGGGTTTCTACCCCACCTTAGATCATTTAATTCCCAGATAAAAGACACAAAACTTTTATATTTATTATAATAAGCCTTTAATGCACTAGAGCTGGGCAGATGTCTGCCCTCTATGCTATTAAAATCTATTTCCCTGTCAATAACCTTGAGTTATAACTTACCATGTTCCATCTGGGCAGCTCTTAACTCCAGTTGGTCAGCCCTCATGACTGTGTTTTTATGATTCACCTATCCTGTGGCATGGTCCCCCTCCTTGTGGTCTCTCCTCAGACCCCAAGCCTTGGAACCAAAATCTGCCTACCTCTCTTCTACCCAACTATAAGCTACAGGCATCTTTATTCACCAATCAGGGATAACTTGGGGGGCAAGGTTATATAGCATCACTTGGGTCTACACCTTGTCCCTGGGGGCAGCCAGGGCCAGTGTTCACCATTACAGTGTTTACTATTACAGTGTTTACTGTTATACTACATAGCAACAGTACATAGCAACAGACCAGACCTCACCTGAGTTCTGTGCACATGTGGAGATCAGGGCAATCTTTGGAGTAGGCTCTCTCCCACTGTGTGGGTCCTAGAGATGGAATGCTCTAACCCTCAGGTTTGGTGGCAAGTGCCTTTACTTGCTAAGTCATCTTACCAGATCTATTTGAAGAGTTTCAAAGTATAGTAACACTTGACGTGAGAAGTTACTTGTAAATAAACTATAAAAATCACAGGAAGTAAGTACAATCAAAATTTGTTTTGAAATTTTTTTTTTAAGCCCTAAGTGAAAGTATTTGCCCTCCTTGCTTTGGCTTTGACTCAGTATGTCAGAACTGCTAACTTCCTAGGGCTCCTGTTTGTAGTGAGGTGGGACACCCCCGTGCTTTCTGCCAGTCTGTGAACTATTAAAGATGATTATAGTTTCTATGAGCAGAGCAGCAAAGTATGTAATAAACCTCATGTTTTAAATGTGTTTCAACTCCCTATCACACCCAGGCTTTAATAACAGTAGTAGAACATACACACTTTCCTGCTCTATGCACTGACATCTTTTGTTTGGTGTCTAACATGTGAAAATCACAAGTTGTTACTTACTTTTCAGAATGCTCTCTAAGGTAGTGTGAGGTTGGTGTAAGGTAAAGGTAATTGGTGTCTGCATCGGTGGCTACAGTATCCTACGATTAAAATTGCAAAATTGCGTTTTTAAGGGCTGGGGACATAGCTCAGTCTGTCAAGTGCTTACCTAACTTATCATGAGTAAGGCACTGGGTGTGAGCTCCTAAGTAGGAAAAAAAAGAGGGGGGCTGTTTTTTAGATGGGGTACTACATTTAACCTGGGCTAAGTAGATGACGTGTGAAAGTCACTGTGCAGATAGAAATAGATGGAGAAGAGTAAGTGATTGGTTTTAATTGATTGGTCGTGGGTATAAATTACTATGTTTCTGTCTCTTTAAAAATCTTTGGTTGTATTTATTTGAAGCCAAACATCCTATTAAAAGCATGTTAGTATTCTGACTGTGCTTGCCTTCATCCAGCTTATAGTATTTTATTTTTTTGTCTTTTTAGTTGTCCTTATTGGAGATTCTGGTGTTGGAAAGAGTAACCTCCTGTCTCGATTTACTCGGAATGAGTTTAACCTGGAAAGCAAGAGTACCATTGGAGTAGAGTTTGCCACGAGAAGCATCCAGGTTGATGGGAAAACAATAAAGGCACAGATCTGGGACACAGCAGGGCAGGAGCGGTACAGGGCTATAACGTCTGCGTAAGTTCATGGTTTTCAGTTCTGGAATAGGTTGGTGTCAATTGCTGACTTTAGGTATTGGGAAGGAACAGTAGTTCTCCTTAACCTTCCAAGATGTTCCAAGACCTTCCTTCAATGCCTGCAACCACAGATTGTACTGAACCCTATGTGTTTCTCTCTCTTTTTAAAATTCCTTTTATTTTTATTCATGTTTTGCCTGCATATGTGTATGTATACCATGTTCATGCTTAGTACACATGGAGGTAAGAAGATGGTATCAGATTCGTTGAAAGTATAGTTACAGATGGTTGCGAACCACCGTGTGGGAGCTAGAAAGCAAACCTGGGTCCTCTACAACAGCAGCAAGTACTCCTAACTGCGGAGCCATCTTTCCAGCATCCTGTATCTTTTTTCTTAATGGACCTTTTTTTCTTTGTCATGTCCTTATTGCTTTTGGGGACCATTATTAAATAAACTAAGGATTACTTGAACACAGAAAAGACCATAAGTAATGGGAGGGCTACAGAGTGACTTCAGCAGGCAAGTAGTTTATATCATGTGGGTACACTGGACAAAAGAATGAGTCGTGCTGGCCTGGATGAAGAGGAGCACTGAGGAGTTTCTTCACAATACTTAAAATGGTGGCAATTTAAAGCTTATGAATTATTTATGTCTAGAATTTCCATTTAATAATATTTTTGGCCTGTGGGTGACTAGGCATAAAACCTCATATAAGGGATGTTTTCTGTCTACCATATCTGGTGTGTGTGTGTGCACGCACGCACGCGCGCGCGTGCCCGAGCGTGTGCATGTGTTGAGACCTGGTCTCACTTTGTAGCATGGTACTCATTATGTAGCCCAGGCAGGCCTCAGACCTCCAGCACCCAGGACAGTTATGTATCACCATCCCTCATGTGATATTAAGAAATTTCAAAACTTTATTTACAAGCTTGTATTATTATTTTTAAAACTCTATTTGTATGTGTATTTGTGTGTGTTCCTATGGATGAGTATATGAGAGGGTGTGTCTGTTAGTACATATGTGTACATATTATTGCTATGTGGATAGAGGTCAGAGGACAACCTTGGATGTTGGTCCTCACCCTCTACCTTGTTTGAGATAGGCAGTATTTGTTGTTCACTGCTGTTTATGCCAGGATACCTGAGAACTTCTGGGATTCTTCTGTTTCAGCCTCCTTTCCCCAACTTCCCCATATCACAGTAGGAGGACCAGGATTACTGAGTGCTACCATGTCAGCTTTTACATGGGTTGTGGGGATTTTTAACATCTGAGCAGATCTCCATTCTGGATAGCAAGTGCTTTCTTTACCCACTGACCCATCTCCCCAGCCCTATACCATCCCATTTTGTGTTCTTTGTGGTGTTCACTTCTACTTTGTGATTGTCTTCTGATTGTTGCATATGTTTCTGTTTGCAGATACTATCGTGGAGCAGTAGGTGCCTTACTGGTTTATGACATTGCTAAGCATCTCACATATGAAAATGTAGAGCGATGGCTGAAAGAACTGAGAGATCATGCTGACAGTAACATTGTTATCATGCTTGTGGGCAATAAGAGCGATCTACGTCATCTCAGGGCAGTTCCAACAGATGAAGCAAGAGCTTTTGCAGGTCAGTAATGCGAACGCCACAATATTACAGTATTCTGCATTTCTCTGTTTGAACATTACACCTCTCTTTAACAATCTTCTGTGTGAGTCTGAAAAGTAGTATTTCAAGGAATGTCGAAGACTGACAAAGATTCACCTACTTAGAAGCTGAGGACTTTGCACTTCATATAGGATCTGCTTATTTCTAGCTGCCCTCCCTTCTGGTAGGAAAGCTACCAGAAGACAGTAGCATTGCATCAGCTAGGAAGTCATGATGTTGTATTAGTGAAAATATTGTGAGTATTTTCCTCTAACTTTTAAAATTTTCAAATAGAATTCTAAGTGAATGTGTTTCTAGCTATGTAATTGCTAGGGAGGATGGTTGGGGTGGAAATAGTAGGATGTTTGATAAGTTTACTAAATTTTGAATAGTTTGATTCATTGTTATTGGTGGTATTTATATGCAGAAGTACTTAGATGGTAACGGAAATTTCTTACCATTACTTTGAAATTAACTGAAGTAAAAGTAAAATAGTGTTCTTATATTACACCAGAAGTTGGTCCCATTTAGGGTTTTTTGTTTGGTATTTTGAGATACTTTCTCATGTTGCCCAGGCTGGTCTTGAATTCCTGGCCACACTGAGTTAGGTTGTAGTCTATTATCTTCCCTTTTGTGATTGTGAGCTTATCACATCTTCTGCTGTTTTAAAACTTGGAGAAAGCTGGCCAGTGGTAGCGCATGCCTTTAATCCCAGCCCTCTGGAGGCAGAGGCAGGTAGATCTGAGTTCCAGGCCAGCCTGGTATACAAAGGAGTTCTAGGACAGCCAAGGCTACACAGAGAAATCCTGACTTGAAAAACCAAAAAAACCCAACAACCACCACCAAAAAACACCTTGTGGAGAGTTGGGGAGGTAGGTCTGTGGTGGAGGGCTTGCCTATTAGTAGTAAGGCCTGGATAACCAATCACCAGTACTATTAAAACAGCAATCAAAATTGACCAGACTGAAAATTTTGTTTCTCTTCACAGAGAAGAATGGTTTGTCATTCATTGAGACATCTGCTCTAGATTCTACAAATGTTGAAGCTGCTTTTCAGACAATTCTAACAGGTGAGACCTGTGGTTTTTGGTTATACTAGTGGGAACTGGAGTTAAACTAATTAGGAAACTGTTATGCCATCTGAAAATGACTATCATTAGAGAGCAGCTGTAGCGTGAGTCCCATGATACGCACAGTTACAACTCCTGCACATTGCACTGCAGTCATGTGAATTCATCTGGGGAAAAATCAGTTCTTTGATTTTGTTCATTTCCTTGTGTTCAGGTCATGTAGTCTATTCTTCATAGTCAAAGGGACAGAGCTATATGTTCTTATGTGTGTTCTTCTCTTTTTAAAATGTATTTTCATAAGGTAAATACTGAGATCCTTACTATAGAAAGCTATAAATGCCTTTTGAAGTTAGAAAAAGTTTGGCTGGAGAGGTGGCTTTGCGATTAAGGGTACTTTCAGCTCTTCTCAAGCACCTGGGTTGTATTCCCAGCACCCATGTTGGGTGGCTCACAACTGCCTGTAACTCTAGCTTCAGGAGATCCCGATGCTGGTACCCGTACACATGTGACAGACACACATGGATACACAAAAATCTTAAAAAAGAAATTAGAAAAACCTAGGGAAATTATATCAAAAAATTTAAGTGAAAAAAAGAAAGCCTGGATACATCTTCTGAGATAACAGGAGTGTGTTCCTTGTAAACACAGTCAGCCCAGCCTGCATATGGGAAGGTTTACATGAGCACATGGAAAGGGGCAAAGGTCATGCTATTCTGGGATGTGAGTAACCAGGTCAGCTTCTTGGAAAAGAAGACATTTTATTTCTTCAGGCTCGGATTTACTTTGGCTTTATTAGAATAACCAAATTATCAGCACATTTAATCTATTAGGAAGTATTTTCATAGATTGTTTTTCAATACACCTAAATTATATGTTATATGTTACCTTTAAGAACTTACAAATTAATCAACACATAGTAGAATCTTACATGGTGTTCTGATAAATTGATATACAGAATTGTTTAGTTTCCTATTGTAATGAAACAAGTTTAAATGCTGTATGTAGTGCTTGTATTAAGAGAGCACCAGAATTTTAACTTTTAAAAAGTATTTATTTATTTATTTATTTATTTATTTATTATAGCCTAGGAGTTTAGATCATAGAGTAGAAACCCTGATTCTTCCACTTATTGTTGGAACTATAATCTTGAGCAAGTTACTCCTTCAAAGCCTTTAATTTCTTCATCTGTAAAATTCGGATATATATTGGGTTGGAGAAATGGCTCAGCAGTTGAGAGTATATGTATTTTCCAGAGGGCCAGAGTTCGGTTCCTAATCCTCATGCCGGGCTGCTTATAACCACCAGTAACTCCAGCTCCAGGGGGTCTAACACTCTCTTCTAGCATCTACATATACATGAGAATAAGCACACATAGATACACACATACACATAATTTAAAATAAAAGTTTTTGACACATTTTGGTTAGTTACTATTTTCTTCATGAGATAGCTTGTACTTTTAAATTTCTGGAGTATGATTTGGTATGGAATGATTTAATTTGTTATTGCTAGTTAGGGGTTTTTGTTGTTGTTTTGTTTGTTTGTTTTCTTTCTATTCCACAGGAAAAAAAATGAACTGTCATTGATATGTCAGTAGTTCCCAAAAAATTATAAGTTAATGCCTGTCAAGAGCTTAGCTTTTCCTGGTACATAGCAAACATTTGATAAATCAGTACTTAAGTAGCAATTAAGGAAAAACAACATGTTAAAATACATGGAAAAAACCAACTTTTTAAAATAATGTAAATATTAGTGATTTGTATGTATTTTATTAAAACAATTTTTTTGGGGGTTGGTTTCATTTGTGTCTTAGTTGGGGTTTCTATTGCTGTAGTATAACATTGCAACCAAAAATCAAGTTGAGGAAGAAAGTTTTATTTAGCTTACACTTCCAGATCCTATTCCATCATTGGAGGAAGTCAGGGCAAGAATTCAGGGTTAGAACGTAGAGGCAGGAGCTGATACAGAAGCCATGGAGGGCTTCTGCTTGCTGGCTTGCTTCACATTTGCCTTGTTATAGAACCCGGGACTGCCAGCCCAGGGATGGGACCACCCACAAGAGGCTAGGCCTTCCCCCATTGATCACTAATTGAGAAAATGCCTTACAGATGGATCTCATAGAGGCATTTTTCTCAACTGAGGCTCCTTCCTCTGATTATTCTAGCTTGTGTTAAGTTGACACACAAAACCAGCCAGTACAGTTTAGCTTAGTTTTGTTTTGAGACACGGTTTCTCTGTGTATTCCTGGCTGTCTTGCAACTTGCTCTGTAGACCAGGCTGGCTTGGAACTACCTGCCTCTGCCCCTCTCTGCCCCTCTCTGCCCCTCTCTGCCCCTCTGCCCCTCTGCCCCTCTGCCCCTCTGCCCCTCTGCCCCTCTGCCCCTCTGCCCCTCTGCCCCTCTGCCCCTCTGCCCCTCTGCCCCTCTGCCCCTGCCTAACACTCAGATTAAAGGCATGCACCATCATTGTCAGGATAGAATTGTTTTTGTTATCTGAAGAATAGTCACTACAGCTGGCGGGGAATAGGTAGTTTGTGGCATCGGCAGCTTTTTTAAAAAATCTGTTCTTCATGATCTCACTGCAGATAGTTTTAAGCTTGCAATATTTTATTGAATCTGCAGTATGCCTACAAGTCCTACTTTGTGTTTGTTTTCCACTGTGTAGGCCAGGCCAGGCTTGAACGTTCTGTCGTCCGCCTGCCTCTGCTTTGAAAGTGCTGAGAAGAAAAGCACATGCTACTACACCTGGCCTAATTTATTATTTTTTTTAAATCACATTTTACTTATTCATTTATATAAGGTATGGGGTCATGGTGTTCATAGTATGGTAGCCAAGGATAGCGCCTTTTGTCATGTGGGTCATGGGGCAGGTACTCAGGTCATCCACTGAGCCAAGATGTAAAACTATTGGGAATGTTTTGCAGTAGATCCATGCTTTGTTTACATCTGTTTTATCTGATGGTGCTTTTAGAAGTAATTCACTAGTGCCAAGGTGGGCTGACGATTGCTTTAGTCCTGCCTTTCAGTGCAGCTTTGCTCTTTCCACCTCAAGTTCACCAGGAGATTGGGTGAGAGAGGGGCGAACTGTTAGGAATCCAACTCTGTCTTGAGCATGTCAGGCAAGCACTTGTCCGAGCTGAGTTTCATCCCTAAGAGATGTTTTTAATCACTGTTTTCCATACCCTCTTTTCATTTTAACTTTATATTTTGGCAATTTCAGAGTTGATTAAATATTACAATAATAGTATAAAGAACTTGTGAGTACCTTTACCCTATTTCCTTAAGTATTAGTCTTTTTCCTTTCCATTTACCTCTCCCTTCCTTATGAAGACACACACACACACACACACACACACACACACACACACACACACTCATGCACACTCATGTGCAAGTAAGTGCTGTGTATACTACCATTTATCCCTACATCTTTTTTTGTTGTTGTTGTGTTGTTGGATATTTACTAGAAGCAAGTACTTTCTCTTTTATAACCATAACACAATGATTTAAATCAATAGTATGATAATAACACATCAATCTTTAATTACAAACCTTATTCAGCTTTTGCCAGTTGTTCCAATTTAAAAAAAAAAAAAGGTCTGGGATTGTATTATATGTGCTGCTCATCTGTCTTGTCACTGCTTGACAGTAGTCCCTTTAGTTTTCTTTATCAGCCAGTTGTCATTTCTCAGATTGAGTTTATTCCGTGTTTCTTTATGATTAAATGCAGGTGTACAGCTTGTGGCCTGAACATCATAAAGGTGGTTCAGCTCATCATTTAAGAGGCTCGTGATAATGTGTTTGTCTTACTCACTGGTAGTTCTAACTTTGAACTTCAGTTCAGCTGCTTTAGCCAGATTTCTCCATGTGATTAGTAAATTCAAGGCAAATTTCTAAATTGAAGACTACACTTTTAATTCTATGGCTGAAATAATTTTAACTAACATACTGTTTCTTTAAAACAAAGCTAAAGCCAGTTTGGTGGTACACATCTGTAATCCCAGTACTTGAGAGGCTGTATGTGTATGAGGTCAGCTTGGATCATATTAACAAGACCCTGTCTCAAAATAAATAAAAATGAAGGGGCTAAAGTTGCCAGGTATTAACTTCTTGAGAATACTGAGAATTGTTAGAAATTTTTATATTACATTTTAATTTATTCCTGTCTGCATGTATATGTATGTGGGCACAAGAGTGGAGGTCAGAGGACAAATGCAGGAGGCAGTTTTTAACTTCTACCATATGGGCCCCAGGTAGGAAACGTGGGTCACTTTTACTCACTGAACTGTCTTGCCAGCCACGTTCTGAGTCTGCCTTACATTAGGGGTAATAGTAACTTGGTTCTCACTTGCTGCAGAAAATGTAGGACTGTCTCAAGTGGGAATCTTTTTTGACCTTCAAGAAATGTACATGATGAACAGGAGGTTTAAAAAGCTTAATAAATAAGAAGCTTCTATGGAAGCTGGCATGGAACTACCCAGGCTCCTGGGTTTTAAAAACTTTGGAGGAACTAAAGATTTTTTAAAAATTTATTTTATTTTGTGTATGCATACTTGAGTGTATGTATGTGTACCACATGCCTGAGGAGATCTGAAGAGGGTGTCAGATCCTCTGGAACTGCAGTTATAGGTGACTTGAGCTGCAGTTATAGGTGACTTGTTGGTACTTGGAACAGAACAGTATTCTCTGCCAGAGCAACTAGTGGTCTTAACACCTGAGCCATCTCTCCAGCACCCATGCAACTAATGAGTTATAACCCTTCTTGTTCTTTAATTTGGAACACTTGTATGCAATCTCCTTAGAAATATTTTGCCAGCCAATCCATGCACGGTTCAGGTAGAGTAGAAAACCAGACTTTATGTCTTTTTAGGTAGCTTTGCTTTATATTTAAAGCTGTGATATATTAGTATTTCACTCCATGCCTAGATCTCCTATAAGAGATTCTGATAGAAGAATAGATAAAGCAGGATTGCTTTTTTCTAGTTGTTCCTAACCTTTGGGCATCTTGAAAAGGGACTGCATGGCAATTAACTGACCACGTTCATTTGGTTCTAAAGGAGAACAGGCCCTTGAGTGAAGTGAGGAACCTGTTTCTGACGGAGCACATTACTGCCCCTCCCTCATGCTGAAGTAACCCTTTATAATCGGACTCCTGCTGAATGGTTCATGCTTACTGTTTTCTTATCAAAGAAAATGACACACACAAGAGACTAAGTACATTAGTTGTGGAGCTCTTTAGAACTATTTAGACGTGAAAAAATATTTTTCTAATTCATTTGTTTATTGCCTTGTTGGTGTTTTTCAAAAGTAGATACATTTTTGGTGACAGGAGAAAGCACAGCAGCGGGACCATTTGTAGAAGAATGCAGCACCTGTAGACTGTTACACAACACTGCTTGAGTTTCTCGCTTTGTAATGAGATTTCTTTAATTATTTACCTCTCTTTCCGCTGAGAACCCTCCCGTTGTCTCTCTTCCAGTGTTGCATGCATTTGTAATTTATAGAGGAGTTTCTGGTGTTTTGAGTTTGTTTTCCTAACTTAATCTTTAGAACAACTTGTAAAGAAGTTAAAATTTAACAGGGATCACATATTTAGTGTTTTTCTTTTTCAGTTAGGTATTAATGGACAAGGTAAAGACTGGACAGTATAGTTTAACCACGAGCTGATGATGAGTCAGTCAGAGAACTCTTCTTCTATTTACTTTTCCCTCCCTCCCTCCCTCCTGTCCTTTCACCTCTCACTCCTGTCTTCTCCTATTTGAGATAGTGTATCACTGTGTAGCTCTGGTTGTCCAGAACTTGCTCTGTAGACCAGGTTGGTCTCAAACCCATAGAGATCCACCTACCTCTGCATCTCAAGTCCTGAGATTAAAGGTGTATGCCACCACATCTGGCTTTTTTTTCTTTCTTTCAAGACAAAATTTTAAGTATTTATTTTCTGTAGTGGTGGTGCTCATTGAGTGCCACGGTTTGAGAATGAAGATCAGAAGTCAACTTGCAGGAGGCAGGCAAGGCTGCTTTGACCAGGTAGCCTCTGGGGATTCTGCTCAAGTTGTCAGGATTAGGGAAAGGGGCCCGTATCCACTGAGCGTCTCACTGGCCATCCCTATCCCTTCCCCAGTGAAAGACCTGGCAACACCATATCCTTTGTGTTCTTGTTTTTAAACTTTAATCAATAGCTTGTCTGTATTGTATTCTTTCTCTGCTGATACTGCTTCACCTTTGAACCACTACCAACCTTCTCAGACAAATGAATGTTTTTGTTAGTTTATCTATTAACATGTGTGTGCGCACGAATGTGTTCGGGTGATGGAAGAGGTGAGAAGGGGGAGTCAGATGCCCCTAGAGCTGGACTTAGGACCAGTTGCGAGCCATCTGCTGGTAATTGAACTCGGATCCTCTGGAAGATTAGCAGGTTCTCTTAAGCACTGAGCCATGTCTCCAGCCCCACTTATTAAGTTACTGTTGCTCAACTTTAGAGGAATTGTTTTTTTTTTATTTATTAAAATTAATTTTAATTTATGTGTATGAATGCTTTCATTTATGGATGTGTGTGTATTACATAGTATGCCTAGTGCTCATGGAGGCCAGAAAGCATTGAATCTATGAAACTGCAGTTACAGTAAGCCATCATGTGCCTACTTGAGAAGCAAACCCAGGTTCTATAAGAGCAGTAAGTATTCCTAATTGCTGTGTCATCTCCTGAGTACCAAGAAACTGATTTCATCCCTTGTTGTGTGGCTTCCCGATCACCTAAAGTAGAGTAGCTCATACTAGCCTATTTTAGTAATAATCATCAATGTCTGTTCCTGACCTGTTACCTTTTTTTTATTACTTTGAAATAAATCCCAGATAATAAGTCATTTCAATTATTAATATTTCAGAATATATACCTAAAAAGTGGAACTCAAATTCATAACAACAAAGCCACTAAGAAATTTATAGTAATTTCTTATTGCCATCTGTTATCTAAATAATATTAAAAAGATATGACTTTTTAAAAATCAACAGTTTAAATTAGGATTCAGATAATGTTTGATAATGTTGATACATTATTGGTTGATGTATTTTAGATCTTTTTTTTTTTTTTGGTAGTGGTGGTGGGGTGAGACAGGGTCTCTACATAGCCTTGGCTGTCCTACAACTCAATATGTTGATTAGGATGGCTTCAAACTCAGAGGTCTGCTGCCTGCCTCTACATTCCCCAACCCTGCAGCTAAGTGCTGGGATTAAAGGCATGTACCACTGTGTCCAGCTTTTTTGGAATATTTTGATCATGTAACTTTTTTTTTTTCATTGTAATTTTAACATTCTATCTCATACGAACACACATGTTTCTACATAGTCACATTGTAGGTCTAAAAATTAAGTATATCTGTAGTATTTCTAATGTGCAGCTCTTATTCAGATATCCCCGTGTATTAATAATACACTTAATTCATAAATCTTCTATGGAATTGCCTTTTGATATTTTTAATGACAAGATCTCACTATATAGCCCTGACTAGCCTAGTACTTACTATGTAGACCAGGGTGTCTTTGAGCTCACGGAGATCTGCCTGCCTCCATGCCTAGCCATGGATTTTAGTTTTTATTTAAATAGTTAGCTATTGTATTAGGTAGCAAAGATAGAAAATGTATACTTATCTGAATCTGCATTTGTCCTATTTCTGCTTGAGCACATTCCCCAAGAGTTGTTTTGTCAGGGACACATGGAACCTGCACAGGAGTATATTGTGTCTTTCCTAGTACATCTTATTAAAGGCTGATTATACTTGATTGCCCGTTTGTAGAGTTTTCCTACTTTTTTTGATGATATTGCTTAAAAAGCAACACTGGGAAGGTAAGATGGAGGCCTGTGTTCTCTGTTCTTGAGAAGTGGATTGTTGTTTGATTAGGTAGTGCAGTTCAAGGCCACTTCCAGTGAATTTACTATAGATACTGGGAGACATCCAGTGATGTTTAATTGGGCGAGTAGTTCCTCAAGCATCAATTCTGTGCAACTAAAGCAACAAATAAAGCAAATAGTTTTAGTTTTTAAAAGATTAATGTGTAGTGGAGGACTAAAAGATAAATCTTGATACATGTCATGAAAGTAAAGTAGCAAGGCATATGTTAAGAGTATCTCTTGAATAATTAAGTATAATTTAACCTTAACCCCAGAGGTGGACAGTGGTAAACAGAGAGCCCTTTCTCTTCTAATGCTCTTTGGATTTTAATATGTTTGACAAGTTGCGTTCGTCCCTACAGAACGTAGAGAACAGCTAGGTATATCTGATAGTGTAGATTTGTCTCATTGTGAGTTTGTGTGGACTTTTATGGAGGACTGAGTATATATTTTAAGGATTTAATTCAGATCTCTGCCCAAAAATATGGCAGTGTTTAATGCAGTTTAATTAATGGATGAAGTTTTCCCTCTGAAATGGCGAAACCTTGTTACTCTCCTTACTATAACACAAATTATTAAAAATATGCTTTGACTCTAGTTAATGGCTATTTGAAAATAAAACCTTACTTTTTGAGACAAAGTCTCCAGTTGCCCAGGCTGTCTTTTAAACTTGCAGTGTAGCTGAGGTTGGTCATAAACTCCTTATTCTCCTGCCTCCACCTCCCAAATGTTGGGATCACAGATGTGCACTACCATGTTTAGCCTAAAAATAAAATGTAAATATGTATGTTTCTGTTCTGTGTATCTTCTGTCTCTTTTACACAAAGTCTTCATGGGTTTATACACACTGTTTCTGTTTCTTTTGTCATTCAGAGATATACCGCATTGTTTCTCAGAAGCAAATGTCAGACAGACGTGAGAATGACATGTCTCCAAGCAACAATGTGGTTCCTATTCATGTCCCGCCCACCACTGAGAACAAGCCAAAGGTGCAGTGCTGTCAGAACATCTAAGGCGTCTCTCTCCCCTAGCAGGCTGTGTATAGTCCAATTCCCAGGTCTGAGATTTAAATATATTTGTAATTCTGTGGTCACTTTCTGTGTTTTATTACTTCCGTACACTTAAGAATCTTCCCATGTCTTAAGTCTTTTGATTTGGCTTTATAAAATCCTCAACTTTGTCCTGAATGACTGCAGTTCTTTTTCATGCTATGACTTCTCTAGCCTTAGTTTAATAAACTGAATGTTTAAAGTCCTCAGTTATTGTTTACTCTTCATCATGGAAGCCTGTCACTGTAGGACAGAATAGAACTCAATCACTTGAAGTTCAGACCTATTGGTCCTGATCAAATTTAAGACAACCTTAGAAATAAGCTATTGTTTTACCACAGAGCAGCTTGTAAGACACTCTTCTCAATACAGTATATATATTTTGACAGATCTAAGGATTGCCCTGTAAACACAACAGCATTTTGAGAGCTTGAAGATTTTCCATTGTGAAAGTCAGTTGCTAAAATGCCTTAATAGGTCTATATTGTAAATTTTTTCTTTAGTTTTTGTAAGCATCAAAGGCATCAAAGATGATGGGGATTCTTTTTTTTTTTTTTCTGGAAAAGAATAAACACAAAGGACTGTTACGGTTTGCACAGGGTGTGGTTATGTGATCAAAGTTACCCTGCTGCCTGGTAGGCTAGTGGACTTCTGTCTGAGGTGTCTGTTGCAGTGATCAGCAGCCAGAGTAGCTTAACCAGTCTTGTTTCCTAGCAGTAGATTGTGTGGTATTTTTATTGCTCATGCAATAACTAGCTTAATGCTGGTAATATCACATTTTGAAGTGTTAATTTTGTCTTTAAACCTGTCTAGTAAGTGACATGCAGCCTAATTTTATCACCATATTCACCAACCAGCATGGGTAATTATTTTAACAATGCTTATATTTGAGTTCTGCAGTGTATAATGGAATATAGTTCAATTAATCCTTTGGTTTTAGTATGTCTAAAGAATACAGTGAGAAGTTAATTTATGCTCAAGTGGTACCACTTAAAGGCATGTGTTCTTTTAGTATGTAAAATGAAATAGTACCTTGAATTTAAGTAGAATGTACTTAGGCATTGTAGGGTCCTGAAATAGATTTTCCACTACATAATTGAAATCAATGGAGCAACTAGTTTCTCATTCAGAAATGTACACACTAATACTTAGTTTTACTTCCTTGTGGATAACATTTAAGCACTTACTCTGAAGTTTTCTGAAAGTTAACTACAAAGACATTATTAAGGATGGTGGGATACCTGCAAAACTGTGTGGGCTTGCATAGATGACTGTGTCTCATGATTAAATCTTCTGTCTTTTGCAGTGCTCATGATGTGTGGGGAGCACAGAAGGCATTGCTATAGTCAGTCATTTTGTTTTTCTTTTGTAGTTATTTGTTATTTTAGTGTATTGATTATAAAGATACTGTCTATTTATAAATTGCTACTTTGTATTTTATGCATGCTATGTATTTTGACTTTTTTTTTTTAATCTATTGATTTGGAGTATATTCTCATCCTAATAAACAGTTATAGGGGGACTGTTCCCAGTGTTGTCAGATACATGTTTCTTCTAAATGCTTTGGATGTAGCCATGAAAAACTTGCTTCTGATGAGTGAGAAGATAAGTCTTTGCATTGCTGAGTAAACTTGGATTGGGGGCAACAGTCAGTTCAGGTAGATTCTAGATCTGCAGTTCTCTTGTACTCTTGGGAAACATATTTCTAAAAATGGTGGTGACACAGTCTGTACTTTTCTAACTGTCACTAGACACAGGAAAAGCTTCCATCTCTATTAAAATTTACAGTAGATTTATAAAATAAAACTAAGAAAAAAGAAATTATCCAGTGAATGAAAATGACTAAGAGTAGCTTTTAATTTTTTTTTTTTAAACCAAGTGTAGATTTAAATGCTACTTGCACATAGTGGATTTTGGGAGACCTCCAGGCAACATTAGGAATTACAAAGTGACTTGGTTTGCATGTCAGTAAGAGTCTTCATGTTGAGTTAGATCTCAGATGACACACTGCCCTAAGTAAGAAGCATTGCAGTTTTATTTACTCGGACAATTTTAGGCTCAAGCCAACTTTGGTGCTTGACTCTACTTTTCATTAGTTTTAATTTTAGGTGTTTTTTTTAAAACCTGTTATATTCTCCTGAAAAGCCAGTTAGCCATCATACCCTGTCTTTGTCATTCAGAAATGCTGTGCCTTTTTTCATAGTTGTTGCTATGTCAGGAAAAGTTCTCTTTAGCCATTCCACTGAGTATGCTAAATTAGAATTGTAAGCAGAGGTTTCGGCCAATGAGTTCTTTGCTATAGATTTTTTTTTTTTAAATCTGGAGTTTGAATCATGTGTCTGAGCTAGTCTTAGTTCTTTGATTGTTAGGAAAATGAATATTTTAATTTTTGTCATTTCTGACTTCAGTGTTTATAAAAATCCAAATGCTCTCAATGGTTTGAGCTGTTGTGATAATTAATCTCCTTAATCTATTATAAAGAAAAAAAGGTGTACCATTTGGACATTTTTGGCCAACATGAGAAGCAGAAAAGGTTGGGTAATTAAAAAATTAACTGAGGAGAAAAGTGGCTCATAATCCTGAAGAAAATTCAAAACTGCCGGTCATGTCCTTTATGGCAGCACCCAGGAGGCAAAGACAGGATATCACTCTAAGTTCAAGTCCCACCTAGGCTGTCTACTAAGCAGTAGACACCTGGAGTCATACAAAGAAACACTATCTCAAAATGAAACCAAACCAAAATAAAATGTGGCTTTTGTTGTACAGAAAAGGACAGACAGACAAAGACTATGAAAGGAGCCACTTCCACATACTTTGAAGAGCTAGTGAAGTATCAGAAAGGGCATCATGACAGGAGGCCAGAAAGCAACCTGAGCTTTTCCTGGTTGAATACCTCACCAATACAAGAGTTGCCAGTCTAATAATATTTTAAAGAATAGTTTTGTTCTTCTGTATTATAGATGGCAATAAAATGACACAGCATGCTAGAGAACCTTAGCTGTGAGATCACTTTAATTAGCAGTATCCATTTTCCTGAAAATTGGTGGAGACAGTGTTTGAAAGAATATTGTATCCCAGGCAGGTATTAGAACATGTGCAGTGGTGGCACACGCCTTTAATCCCAGCACTCAGAGGCAGAGGCAGGCAGATCTCTGTGTTCAATGCCAGCCTGGTCTACAGAGTGAGTTCCAGGACAGCCAGGGCTACACAGAGAAACCCTGTCTAAAAATACACACACACACACACACACACACACACGCACGCACGCACGCACACACGCACGCACGCACGCACGCACGGGGAAGGAAAAAAATGTGCTGAATTATATTTACACATTAGTTAGAAGATTGAACTAATGGGTCTAACACAGCAGTTGGCTGCTTAGAAAAGAAGGGTTACAGTCCCAGTCTTGTCCTTTTATCTCTTACTACTCCATATCCTTTGACGTGATGATATCCTTGATGTGACTCAACTGGATCATTTCTGGGTCATGTTAGGTATTAAAATCAAATTAAAAATTGTAACTCACATATTAAATTTAAGAAATTAGTAAAATATCAGGTAAATACTTTAGAAAAAATGGTTTGGGACATAATAACTTGATAAAATCATTTTGCTCCATGTTAAATAAGTTGCAAATTTTAAGGACATTTGAAAAATGTCAATGTGTCAGGAAAATATCAACTGTGAAGGAAGGGAGAAACATTTGATCAGCTGCTGCGTCAATTATAAATTGAGAACCCTTTGTCTTATGTTTTTTTCCTGTTTAAAAATATCTGGGTCTTGTTTTGTTTTATAAGGTAAGATCTCATGTAGCTGAGGCTGGTCTTGAACTCGTGATACTCCTGTCTTTACCTCTGCAGTTTTGGGATTGCAGTTATGGGCCACTGTACTTGGCTTGCATTCTGGAAGAGAACTTGTAAAATCATCTTACATACTCTTTAATAATAAATCTCTTTCATAGGCCCTTCAGAGCTAGCTCTCTGGTCCTAGTGACTAAGCTAGGTATGATGGCACATAGCACTTGGGAGGGAGAAGCAAGGAGGATTGGGAGTTCAAGACTCCGTGTACCCCGCCCCTCAGTAAAACAAACAAAATGCTCTCCAATGTGTGGATTAATATTATTATGTGTATGCATATGATTAAATGACATTTCAGGGCTATTGATATGATCTAATCATTATATTCATTTGATTTCCTTTTCTTAGCATTTATTAGGCACAGGCTTGGTAGTTAACAGGTGTGAGCATATTGGCTGTTAACTACTCTTTGTCAATACTAGCTAGTACTAGTACTGCCAGCGACGTTCGTTTGTATTTTTGAGTTTGCAGAACCTACCCTTTCCTCACACCATAGACTCTCAGACCCTCTTACCTCATCTCACTGAGGAGAGAGACCCTGCTTTTCCCACCTGTTCCCTTACTGACAAGCTCTACTCACTCAGGCGTTTTCACAGATCCTCTGAGGAAATAGTGTGCTTCCTTTTCATCTCTTTAAGGAATTGCTGCCCACTGTTCTAGCCTCTATGCCAAATCCTTTCATCATTCGGGTCCAAACATGTTACAGAAACACAGATACAGGCATGAAGTCAACACACTCACCTACACTTACGCTTACACCTGCCTGACATGGGACAATTTAAGAAGCAACACTATTTCATTTGAAAAAAAGTATTACTTTTATTTATTGGGTGTGGGATGGGGCATGGCACAGTACATGGTTGGAGGTCAGAGAACAACCTGAGGGAGTTGGTTCTCTCCTTCCATCACGTTTTATCTGCCATGCAGCAAGCTCTTTATCACTGAGTCATCATGCTAACCCCAGAAACTGTTTTATAGGCTGACTTTTATGTGAAACCAGCTCTGGAGGAAGTAGGTAGGGTCCTTAGTTAACTATTTTTATTTTTTTTTCTTTTAGTTTTTTTCCGAGACAGGGTTTCTCTGTGTAGTCCTGGCTGTCCTGGAACTCACTCTGTAGACCAGGCTGGCCTCGAACTCAGAAATCCTCCTGCCTGTGCCTCCCAAGTGCTGGGATTAAAGGCGTGCGCCACCATTGCCCAGCTAGTTAACTATTTTTATTTCTTTTTTTAAAACATTAAAGTAGACACATAAATAACAGTACTATGTAAGATCTCTGGTTCCCATACTTCCTCTTACCCAGGGATATAGAGTAGACAGTTTGATAGGAAGACAGTTGTTGAGGTGGCTGGTGCTAGAATGAGGAGGGAATCTGGCAACTGAAGTCAATAGCAGAGCTTCAACCTGTGTGGGGTTGGTGTGGACCACTGTTCAGCTGTGTAAAGTCAAGGAAGAAACTGCATAATCAGTGCCCTACGGCCTCCCTTTATCTCTGCCCTTTTGTAATCATATTGTAAGATTCCCAGGGAGGAAATGTATTTTGTTCATGTTTATTTATATTCTGACAATTAACTATTCTATATTAAAATAACAGAATTATAGTTATATAATTCTATAAATCTAGACATAAAACTTTACAAAGCACAAATAACATAACGAACTCCTGTGTAGCCATCCATTAATCCATCTTTCTCAGGGAGGTTTTCCATCTCCCCTTGTTGCATTGATCAGATGAACTCCTGTGTCTTCTTCTCAGTAGATGGATGACTAATAGGATGTGTGGTTGCTAAGGGGACCACCTGCAGCCATTGGTTCTTTTTTTTTTTTTAAAGATTTATTTATTTATTTTATGCATATGAGTACACTGTAGCTGTCTTCGGACACACCAGAATAGGGCATCCAATCTCATTACCATGTGAGCCACCATGTGGTTGCTGGGATTTGAACTCAGGACCTCTGGAAGAGCAGTCAGTGCTCTTAACCGCTGAGCCATCTCTCCAGCCCCAGCTATTGGTTCTTGGCTATTATTTATGGTACTAGTGATATTCAGAGACTCACAGAGTATAACTACCCTTTGTTCACTAAATGTGTCAACCTCCAGCCCTAGAGAATTACCTGTTAATTGTCCCTTCTGAATGACACTTAACTTCTGAGTAGCAAAAACATATCATTCTTGGTTAAACATTATACTAAATTGAAATAACTTTATGTGTATATGTATGTGTGTTGTGTGGTGGACAAGGTGATGGTGATGGTATTGGTGTCTGAACTTGGGAGTCTCACACATTTTAAGTAAGTGTTCTGCTGCAGAGCTAACATTTCTAGCCATTTAATTTGACAATCACATAAGCCTTGTGAACTGACAAGTTGGAATATTTTGAGTTGACTTAGTGTGAGGATAATATATATACACCTTTGAAAGTCTGAAGAGCAAATTAAACTTAATTCATTTCAGAAGTTACTTTTTAATTTATATTTATTTGTTTGGAGTGTGTGTGAGAGCAAATTAAACTTAATTAATTTCAGAAGTTACTTTTTAATTTATATTTATTTGTTTGGAGTGTGTGTGTGTGTGTGTGTGTGTGTGTGTGTGTATAAAGTAGAGGACAACTTGTACCTTATACCTTATGGGTCCTGGGCATTGAACTCAGGTCATCATCTTGCCAACCCAGTATATGATTTTTTGGTGTCTGTATTTTCTTCTCAGTTTTTGTGATGCTGGGAACTGAACCCAGGGCTTCATGCTAGGCAAATGCTCTGTCACTGAGCTTTGTGTGTACTTTCTTAAAAAATAATCTTGCTGGCTTTTATGTTTTTTGAAATAAAATCTCCTAGCCTAGGCTACTCTTGAACTCAAGTAGTACTCTTGTACTCAAGTAGTCCAAGCTGCTTCAACTTGAAACTCTCCTGCCTTAGTCTCCTGAATAATGAGATTTCAGGAGTATATGGCACCATGCCTGGCCTTCACTGTTTGTTTGTTTGTTTGTTTGTTTGTTTGTTTGTTTTGAGACAGGGTCTCAGATTGTAGCCCTGGCTGGCCTGGAACTCTTGGCAGTCCTTCTGCTTCAGCCTCCCAAGTGCTGAGTTTATAGTTGTGAGTCATGACTACCCTATAGTTCCCACTCCTCTTTATATTTTAAGCCCAGCTATCTGAAGATTTGGTTTAAAATGTCCTAAAGTGGACGAATATGCTAAAGTCTATTAGTTAAAAGCTATTCATTTGGGTTTATATAAATTGGGTAGTTTTTACACTCGCTCTTTGTGCCACTGGAGGGTAACATAAGCTGTAGTAGTTACAGTTGAGTACACATCCTTGGAAAAACAGAAACCTAATACTGGTGTGAATGGGATTTTAAAATACTTAACATGAGTTAAGGAAATCCCATTTGTTACTTCAAAAATAACATTTTACTTCATTTTTCAAACATCTATTGTGGTAATTTTCATTCTTCCAGCTGTTTAAAGTAACCATGCCAAATGTAGGTTAGTACCGTCTTAAACATAAAATGTATAGATTTTTCAGTGTGCAACACAACAGTAGGCATTCTTGTAACATTAGTTTGAGAAACCATTTTATTTTGTATAAGGTACATCCTCTGCACGGTGAACAAATATATTACAAATCTGTGGTTTAAAAAAGTATTGCCATTTCATAGTCTCTCACACTATTGTACAGTAACTGTGTTTTCGTCTGACTTGTATACATACTAATTTACTGGATTGAAATTTTCATTTTGAAAAATAATTGAACAGATCTTTCCAAATCAACTATAGAATGCACAGCGCACATGTTGAGGCTGACCGCAAACCTGTCTGTGATTGTTAGACAGAAGTTCCTAACAGTTGCTCTGCATGATCGAAATGTCCTAGTGCTAACTCTTAGCTATGTGAAGGCTGCTTCTGTCACCATAGTTAATCCCTTCTCCTCTGTATTGCCTGACTGAACTATGTTACCTGAACCGTGGTAGCGTGCTACACTTGGAGCGTTGTCAGAGCACTGCTCCCCCTGTGTCTCTCTTCTTTCATGTGTGGTAATAAAGGAGCCCGAAGAGGGCACGTGACTCAACAAGAGTGCTGCCAGCCTCCCTTGACTTGATGCTCTAGCCATCCCACCTCTTGCTGGACACTTTGTGCAGAGTGTAGTTGGCAAGAAAGAAGTGAGACTTGGAATTTGCATGATTGCAGTTTGCCAGGTAGCAGTCATTGTACATGCAGGATAAGGGAAGAAGATAAAGCCTGGGATTGAGACACCATTTCTCCTTGCTGGTTGGACTTTGCCATGCTTCTTCACCCTTGCTTCACAAAGATAATAGAGCACTTGTGGCCCTGAAATACTGAGGTGAGTCTCTTAACTATATGTCTTTATACATATGTCGGAGAAATATTAACTTAGGCCTACCAATATTTCTAATGTTTCTATTTTAATAAGGCTTTTGGGAAAGTTCGCTATTGCTGACCCCTCGCTTCCATGCACGCATGCAGCATTCATGTATGTGTTCCTCTAATGCTAAGACTGGCTTACGCCTCGAGCGAAACGAGCAAAGAGATTTGCTCATATGTTTATTTTCTTTCTTTTTGTTGACTATTACTCAAACTAAGGTTATCATCCCCACTTCCTGTAGTCCCCACTTCCCGTAGCAGTATCTAGCTTTACAGTCTTCTAGTCCCTCCTCTGTAAACCCTTTTTAGGTAATTTTTACTGGCTCTAGACTCTTACTCCTCTAAAGAACGTGGAATGGCGCAAAGGTGACCTTTAACTTCCAGTTTGCCCTTTCTGTTCTTAGTTCTTGTGAAGAGGTCCTATAGGATTACCTAAGCCTCGTTTTTCCTGCTGTTACCTGTGCAGTGGAAGTTATGGACTTCTTTCTCTGAACAGGAGATTGAAAGCACCAACTAATGCAATACATATTTGCCCATCTCAGGCAGTGGGCTTTTTTTTTGTTTTTGTTTTACATTTATTTCATTTCATAATGTATGCTAAGCAACACAAGCTTGCCATGCCCGAATTTGTGTAATTTCTTCTACAACTTTAGGTTCCACACTACATCAAGCACTGTCTGTGAAGAACTGCTCATAAACAAAGCAAGGAACTCTGACTAAGTAACTTGAGTGACCCGATTAGTTGTTGTTGGGGAAACTTCATTCTTAGAAGAGGCCTGCGCCTTTTTCCGATGCTGTTGATCTACCCCGGGTCCTTGCTCAGTTGGCCTCTCCCACTGAGCTGCAGTCCCAGCCCTGTGACCACGTTCTTAAAACAGCATCTTAGTTCTCTGCTGCACACAGAGTGACTCTGGTGTTGGCTGAACCAATGCAATGCAGCCAGGCTAGGACTGGCGTTTATTATTCTTGAACTTTGACTTGGCAAAATTTGGGAAGGCTGGCATAGAAATCATTCTAGAGTGAATGCAACTGCTCCTCTTTTGAAACAATTAACATTTTCCCCCTTTCTGTTTGCCTGCTATCACTAATAGGGCAAAAGAAAGCGAACCTGTCTTTATTAAAGAATTGGGCTATATTTTAAACTCTGATTGTGGCTGTTATAATTTGATGGGCCATACCTATATGAACACAGACTTCGTGATTAATATTAGAACAGTTCATGTCCACATACCAATTCCCTTAGATACCTAAACAAATGTTGAGGATAGCAACAATCAATGGCACATATACATTTCAGGCACTTTAAAGTGCCCCCACCCTTCCCCAATTCTCTTTTCTGCAGAACCTAAGCTATATGCTCCTTAAGCATTGTTTCAGAATATTAAATACGTATCTTTTAGCTGATGTTGATGAATAGTGATATCTTCTAAATGTTCTAAAAATCATATCCAGGTAATTTAGAGCTGAAGGTTGATAGGATTTGCCCTTGTGAACAGACTTTCTCGAACAGTTACCCCAGTCCCGTTTGGAAGTGCTTCTTTCAGTCCAGGTGAAGGAACTAATAACACACAGCTCAAGGCAATCTGCACTGATGTTTCAAGTCGCGGATTGTCTTCTTTCAGAGTCAGAAAATAGTGAGCAAAGCACACTAAGAGAGAAGCTTATCCCTCTGACTGCGTGTCCTGGGAGAGCCCATGGGCAGGGCTCTGTCTTACTGGGAGGAGGTCATAGTGACCAGGAATATGGCTGTTCCTAGGTAGGTCGTATGGACTCTGGATATAGCTGGAGTTATGACCTCGGCCTTCTTGGACCACACTGACTGTGGGCTCTAAGGAATATAGTGAAAAGTGAGTTCAGAGAATAGATTAGATTTGCTGCCTTGGTGGGAGGGAAGAAAGTTCTATTCAACTTGTTTGGGAGAAGAACTGTGGGTATATGTATACATCTGACAAATGCAGGAGGATTTGGATGGAGGCTTGGTCAAGAGATGGAAAAACCTAAGAGTGTACTGTCAGAATCCCAGTCTCGGCTCAACAACAAAAGAGTCAAGACATCCTAGAGCTGTGGGTCTTAGGAATGCATCTAGGATCGTAATTGAGACTGGGAGAGGTGTAAGAAACCGATTTAGCAACTTGTAAATGGCTGTTCTGATTGTTTTCATTTTCAACTTTGGATTTGTATTAACAGTAGTGGAAGTGTTGTGTATACTGGTTCTCCACCCTCACTGTTTCTACTGCTTATCAGTTGTGATTTGTAAGCAGGGTGGCACAAGATTTTGGTTTCCTGCCTTAGAGGGAAGGGCAGTCCTGGGACAGAGTTTCTCCTCAGGTTCCTTCAAATGCAACCAAACAGAAGGGTATGTTATGGAGATAGAGTGAATGGAGGTGAGCTTTTTTTCACTTGAGATGCTGCACTGTTGCCCTGATTTTGCTAAGTTATGTGAGACACCTACCAACTTCATATATATTTTTATTAGATGTCGACAAGGATGGCACATCTGTGTACGGAGCCGCCATGTGCACAGGTGACTTCATTTCTACATAGCTGCTTTCTGGAAGCTTGCAGGTGAGGATGGGTGGGTCCTTAATTGTGGCGTAAGGGTTTTCACTGCTGTTCAAGGAGCAAGTACTAGAACTGCACACAGATTCTTTCATGTAATCTGCAAGGCAAGAGAGATTTCTTAGGACAAACAAGGACATAGGGTTCATTTAAATACCAGAAGCAGACATCAGTCAAACTTTGTGTGCTTTCAGGATCCTGGGGCTAGAAAAGACCATCATACTAAAACATTAAATCTTATTAAATGTCTTAAGGTATGCTTTTTCAGGCATTCGTTTCTCATAAAAACATGCTTTTGGAGGACAAGAAAATGGTTGGTTATTGTTATTAAATAGTAGCCCAATATGTTCACAGTGTATTTTTACATGTACCACTTAGTTTATACAAATGCTCTCTGGCCTCTTATGGGGTGGAAGCCCAGACAGATGCAGTAACTTGGCTAGGGTAATAAGCTAGTCGATAGCACTGCAGAGCCAAGACTTAGATCTATGCTCGGGGACTTCTTTGCCCCATATTTTCTGTGATATCATTCTTCCGAGTTCTCATGACTAGAAGCTTTGATTCAGAAGCAGCAGCATATATGTCTTCTAGTGTGGATGTCAAGAGTTTAGCAGCCTTAAGCAAACAGCAGCATTCCTGCCTTCCAGGAGCCCATGCTTAGAATGAGCTAACTGACGTGTAACCGCTATAAAAAGCTCCAGTCTCAGGTTGGCCTTTGAAATGTGGCTTTATCCCGCTGGATGTGCGGTCCAGGCTCCTCTCACCCAGTCCTTGGGAATGTGTGGGTCGTGCTTGTCTCTGTCACTAGAGCTCAGTTGCTCAAGGGTGCCAAGTGATGTCATCATGAGATGAAGTGACAGAAGCTCTACTGGGGGAAGAAGGTCCCTTAGTGACTTGGAGTCACAGAGAAGCAATTACTACTTTCCTTCCCTTTTGAGGGTGATGATCTGTCTATGCATTCTAGGACTTGCCTGGGTAAAACAATAAATTAATCTGACAGTTGTGACCCTTAGCTGTGGGGCACTGACAGGCAAGGTGTCTGGAAATAAGCCTGAATGGCTGGCGCTTGACAGTCAAGTGTGACCTAAGAGGCCTCTCACCTCTAAATGTCTGTGAAATTCTTAGGGAATCTTCTAGACAACCACCGAAGTTTACACTCCAGGCTGTTGTTACCTAAGCTCCCTGTCCCAGCTTGTGATTTTACTGAAAATGTCATAGTGAAAGTCATGTGGCTCAAAGGGAACTGGCTGTGTAATTGGTTGAAGTAGCTGTGATGTGTGCCGCCCTGAGTGTCTGTTCTACTGCAGATCCAGTGAGGAGCATTTATTCTGAAAGTAGGTAGCTCTTGTTCTAGCAGGCAGCAGCTCCTTGGTTTTGTGTAGAAGTACATTCAACTGTTTCCTTCGGGTTCAGAAGGCTGTGACACAGAGCAGTAACTTTTCCCCTTCCTCCCACCTCTATGCTAATGAAGAAACTGAAACTTAAGAGTGGGGAAGTAAACTTCACTGTCTCTCAGTAGCAAAGCCCTTGTCATCCCAGTTTAGCTAACAAGTTGGAAGAGAGGTTGGCTTCAGTCTGGTTGGTATAAGACTGACCTTTGTAGCACCTGACTCAGGTAAAATCATTCTTGCTAGATAACAAGCAGTCTCAGCCAGTTCTAGCTTGGACTGAAAGGTAGGTAAATAGGTTCTACTTCTGCTGGTAGAAGCCTACCCACATAGAAAAAGGTGGTCTGGGTCCTGCATTGTGACTTGCCTCAAGCCATCTATCTTAGTTTGTCTCTCAGTTCTTCCTTAGTACAGGGGGGTGATGTAAGCCTGAGAACCTCCCAGTCAGTCCCAGTATGGTTGATCTAGAACGCATCAGGCAGTGAGAGAGGCTCAGGGCTTGACTGCGTACCTTGTGGAATTGAGGGATAGCTTATTTTGTGTAGCACTGGAATGAACAACCTTCATTCCAGTTAGATTATTTGAAACAGGTGCTGGGTGTGATTTGGGAGGCATCATTTAGGAGGCAAAAGCTAGCAAATATCTTAGTTTAAGACCAGCTGGGATCACAGCCGGGATAGCCAGGGCTTTATTTATAGTGAGACCTTGTCTCAAACCAAACAGAAAGAAACTTAGTACCTTTGGGGCCTGGGGGGTTGGGTAAGACGGGACTGCTATTACTGTTTAGAAATGAGGCAACCAAAGCTCCGTTTATTAGTCTAATGCTTAGTGCTTAGGACTCAACCACTATCTTATCTGACAGTCAAGATATTTCCCCCTTAGGAGATCTAGTTACCCCTAGTGTAAGCTCTTTACAGCTGCTTCAGTTTATCCTTCTTAGCAATACCAAGGCCTGCTGAGAGGAAAGGCTAAGCTTCAAGCTTAATGACTTAGAGTAGTGGGAAAACCTTAGAGCCGCACTCAGCTGTGTTTTCACTGGAAAGCGAAACAGTGGGATGCCCTCAGTATTTAAATAACTTTTGAATGTTAGCTTTTGTCCATTTCTGTGTACTCGTTTTCCTGGGCTAAGTTGGAGCTGGGGAAGAGTACTAGGCTCAGGACCAAGGGTCTTCTCAAGGTTTGCAGGTCAAGACAGGATGGAAAAATCCGTGGAGAGTGGTGGTTGTGAAGGGTGCTGAATTATCCCATCTTTCCTGAGAACTGGAGGAGATGGGGCGAGGCAAGCTGGAAAACTCAGCTTCAGGAAGCCAAGCTTTTCTCTTGTTGAGTCATCCACCTGCCTGCTATGAGGGCAGGGTGTGGGGAAAAATAACCAGCTGAGCTAGAGTACTTCCTCATCCCCTCTCGCCACGCCCACTCCACTGCCTTCCTGTAGGGCACTGTGCAAAGAAAGGGGAAGCCTGCAGTCCCCCAAGTGCCCCTGAATTTACTCTCCTTGTTTCCTCCTCTGGACCATATGTAGCCATTCATATTATCACAGTCTGAATGGGTTTCTGAAATGAGCACCCTTATTTTTTTTTGAGGAAGCACAGGACTAGGGAGGAAATGACTTCCCAAAGTTGCTCTATGGAGTGTTCTGCACCTATCAAGATAAGCCCCAATTTAGGCAATCGTATGTGGAATCCCAGGCATTAAGTATCTGTTGCTCACCTCTGAGCTACTGCTATCAATAGGAGGCCTGCTGCTTCTGTTCTTGGGGTTAAGTTCCCATTCTTCACTTCAATGAGAGAGGGGATATGGGAAGGGATGGGTCAGAGGATCTGAAGTCCAGAGAATACTGGCCAGCCACAAAAGGGATTTTCAGTGGCTTCTAAATGTCTGAGAACCCAAAATTAATTGGAGAGGCATGGAGCTGAGGTGGCAAGGGAGCACAGGCTGGGGTGACAGTACAGCTCTGGGGTCCCCAAGGGAGCACAGGCTGGGGGTGGCAGTACATCGCTGGGATTCCCAGACAGAAGGTGGAGAGAAGTGGATTTTTTTCTGTCACACTTTGAAAGCATGACAGACAAGGAATTGGACACGAGACAGTTTATTGTACAGTCATTGCTGAAGAGGAAAGGGAGGTGCTTAGCTGTGTCAGCAGTCTCCTTCAACCTCCCAGGGTGACAGAGTTCCCAGTTACAGAGAAAAAAGTGGATGCTACCTGAATTAGGTCTTTTAAAATGTCAGAGTTGTAAGGGGCCTTAGAGGTGGTGCTATTGTAACTGTGCCTTTTAAAGAGGAAGAAGCCACGCCCCACAGATACTGCTGTGTCTAGTGAGCACCACACAATTGAACTGGAACCCAAATCTTCTCATTCTCTGAGTCCTTCTCCCCCTCCTCCCACAGTTTGGAAAGCATCCAGACTTTAATTAGTCCTGCTGGGTTTGGCCTTGCCTTTTTTGCTTTAGGAAATAGTTTAAAGTGGTGATGTGAAGTAGCTGATCCAGATGTTTGGGGATTCAGCCACCAGGCAGGATTGTTCCATGTGTTTTATAAGCTTTTCTGTAAAGTTCTACACTAATATTTCACTTGCCTCTCTTTGAACTCTTACTGTGTCATGTTGGCTCCCAACACTTGATGGTACATTTGCCTACACAGTTCTCTCTAATTTAAAAGCTGATTAGAGGCAGTGACGAATCTGGCTGCTTGCCTGTTAGAGCCTCCCATGCACTCAGATGATCCCATAAGACAGGAATGCAATGATGAAGGCAGAGACTGGCTTTCATTGGCTTTGTTTTACATTTATGGTTTAGAGTTTAAAAGTGGTTTCCCGAAACACCATGCACAGGATGACAGGGTGTACAGGGGAGGTGTGCTTGTATGCTAATCTCAGGGCCTGTCTGAGCTATTCTCCACTGAGTCATACTTCTTCACAAAGCCTCAAAGGCCCTGGAAGAGCTGTCTAGTCCCCATTCCACACTGAGAAAGAAACTGAGGCTTTGGGTCACAGTGACCAAGTGGTACAATTGCTCTTCTGTTGGCCACCTCACATACCAAAATGGTGTTGCCTCCATTCCGGCGATTTAAGGCAGAACCCTCAGAAACTTTCCATAATAAAGCTCCCAGGGGATTACTGCCTGTGGGCTGGCATGGAGTTTGGGAATGGGCTCCCTCCTCAGACAGGTCTCCAGGGGTTTGCATATCCTAAACCAAGCTGATGGTCACTCAGCCTTGATGTTCTCTTGCTTGTAGAACACAATGCCACCTGGGTCTTGCTCATCCCACTTCTGATAGCCATTTCCCCAAGAGTTGTACACAAGTTGCTCTCCTTGGTTAGGAGATGGCCATGCTAGGTCTGAAAGATGAGAACAGAAACCTGGGAGAGTTTAGACAAATGATAGTTGGGTAATAGATTGCATAAAGATATCCTCAGGTACTCCATGCTGCAATTGTGGAGTGCAGAGCTGCTCCATCTACTGCAAAAGAATCTGCTGTGGGTGTAAAGATCTGAGTTTGAACACACTTGCTAGAAGATTCTGGTGTAGAGCTGGATTTAGAGTATCAGTTGGGATCTTTGTTGAATTTTATTACTGTTCTTTCAATTTGACTGAGATTTTGAGACATTTCCCAGAGACATCACATTGGTTCCACTTTTATAATATACAAAAGCACTTCCCATCCAACTTTATTGGACACCCAAAATAACCTTGTTAGATAAAAAGACAGGCATGAGTCAACAGGCATAATTATCCCAACCTTGCAGATGAAGAAACAACCTTAGGAAGTACAGGGTTAATAAGTGACAGGGTTCCAAAGCTCCCTGCCTAGCTCACATGTCCTAGCATTTAAACCTAGGACCTAATCCAGGACTGGACCTGATCTTTGGTTTTGGCTTCCCCTGTAGACTTCCTAGAGGGATGGTCCACCTTGTATGCCGTTCCTGTGGCGCAAACTTCAGTCTTGGCTTCCCTGCTCTTAGGTGCAGAGATCTCTTGAGGGTGAGGGCCATACAGTATTAACACTGGTTATCATTTGCATTACTTGTGCCCCAGAAAGGTGGCAGGTGCAGGGTGGTGTTCCTTGTCAGTACAGTGACAGAAGGCCTCTGGGGCAGGTAGATTGACTTTATTTCAGATTTATAATCAATTTAACTCATACTAATTTGTTGGATCATGACGATCCAACATCATTACATTTCTACATTTCTGAAGACATTTAGTTGGCATCTGTAACAAACCCACAAGTGTTTGCTAAGCAGGTGCAACTGCAATGGAAAGATGAATTCATTACCATTAGGATTGTTCCTCCTGGGCAGAGCCGCCCAGTGACTCTGGGTCCTGTGATCTTTTTAGCTTTTTTATTTTTTTAAGGGGCTCAAGGTTTGCAGTTTCTCCCAGGTAGAATTCCTTGCCATCTCAGATCTGTAATCCCTTGCTAAGCCCTGTGTAACAGGACATCAGGATTAGATACTCTACCTTTGAAGCCTTTGTCCATAATGTATGTGTTCTGACGTCTGTCCATCCCGCAAGTGCCTGCATAAAAACAGAAGGAAAGAATACCAGGTGAGGCTCCCTAGACCACCGGTGTCTCTTCCTCCCCATGCAGTCTTCCTCTTTTACCAAGAAAATAGTTGTTTGCTCCTAGCAGACTATTCCAGATTCAATCTATTCTAGATAATTCTGAACACAGAGGGATTCTTAAAAGGCTCATTACATTAAGATGGGCTCCAGTGCCCTCTTTTCTTTGGCTTTCCTCTTAACCTGCTCCTTGCAGGATGCCGTCCATGATTTCTGTAGGTGAAGCCTGTGCCAAGCTCTGGGGGCACAGGGTTAAGAAATGAAGCCAGACCAGTGCTTAGCTGGAGGAAAAGATGCAGAGAGTTCTGATTCTTTTTGTTTTGTTTTTTGTTTTTTGTTTTTTTGTTGTTTTTTTTTTGGTTTTGGTTTGGTTTTTCGAGACAGGGTTTCTCTGTGTAGCCCTGGCTGTCCTGGAACTCACTCTGTAGACCAGGCTACCCTCGAACTCTTGAACTCAGAAATCCGCCTGCCTCTGCCTCCCAAGTGCTGGGATTAAAGGCGTGTGCCACCACTGACCGAGAGGTCTGATTCTTTCTCTTGGTTTGGAAACAAAGTTTCTCACCCGTTAGCTCTGATCCTGCCTTTCCTGGATCTGGGGGTGCCAGAGAGAAGTAACAAGTAGGTGGGGTACTTGATGATCATCTTTCCAGGAAGAACAGTCATTCCTGACCACAGCCAGTTTGCTTAGTTACTCATTTTGAAGGGGGTGGAGGAGGAGAGCTTTGTCCTGAAAATGCTGTGAGTGTTTTTCAGCCCCAAGGAATTATTTCTTCATTTTGTTGTTAGTTAACGTTTTCTTGGGTTCCCAGAATGCATGGTCCTCAGCCCTAGCTAGAAGCAGGACATAGACTTGAGTTGATTGCTACAAGTCCTCCTAGGGGTGGGAGCAGGTCTAGCCTTTCCATGTTGGGACAGTAATGTTTAACTTACAGTTAACCCCTTCACTCTCACTCTGTTGGTAGTTTTTCCAAATATTGATTATATATATATGTGTGTGTGTGTGTGTGTGTGTACACATAAGTGCAGGTGCCCACGGATGCCAGAGGTATTCAATTCTCTGGAGTTCCAGGTGATATGGCTGCTGGGAACCAAGAGCAGTATGGGTTCTCAACCAGATACACCCTGGTCTTTAACTAAAAACAGTCTCAAAATATATTGACTCTACCTAACTTTCCCACGTTTTTTGCACTGAAGACAAACCCGCTGATACTTGGGTCCTTCTTCCATATAGAGTTCATATCTATCTTGTCTTACATGCCTCCCTGAGAGATAAAACAGAACTGAGCTATTCTAAAATGCCTGTAGCAACCCATACCCTTCAAAAACATGCAGCAAGCCATATTGTCCTGGATTTATCACTTAATAGTAGTCATTGAAGGAAGGAGGGTACATATAATGTTAGCCACCACCACCCCTTTTTTATAAAACAAGAAACAGAGTTATTCTCTCCTAGTGGCCACAGCCTGCCTAGCTGGTCATGAGCTAACAAATGACTGTGACGCTCTGGCTACAGTGGTTGAAGGTCTGTAGGACAGGAAGAACTGGGGCTGAGCCCAGACGATGCCTCGTACTCCTGTTTAGACCTCAGGGTGGCGTGAAGGTAGTGATTAAAAGTCCAAGGGTATTGAATGCTTGGCCATAGCTGAGGAACACAGAGCCATCAGGGTCCTTGCAGCCATGCCTGCTCAACAAGACAAATTCTGAACCTTCATGCTTCCTGGACCAGAGATTTGTGGAAGTTGACTCAGTTTTACTAGACCACGAGTCCTACCTGGAGCCGTCCAGCATACTAAGGCCTTTCCCCAGGGTGCCTGCCCTAGAGGAGCTACTTATAGAGAGGCCACATTCTCTGTCCATCCATTATATTTCTTTGACATTCATTTCTGTTACACATTTCCCCTGTCAGGACTTAGTTGTCAAGTGTCTTTTGACACCTCTCTCAGGGTACTAGGTTCAAGCTCAGTATATGAGTCCAGAGATACTGGGAGAAGATGTTGCCTATCTTTTCCCAGTCTCTGCTTGACAATCCTACCTCATTTTCTAAGAAGATACAGTTTGGGCCACTGTTAGGTCTGGAGCCTTTCTGGAAATCATTGAGCTTTTTTGTCCAGAAAACCAGCCTTCTGTTACCTATACCGTGATTGGGCTGCGTATTGCAGAATGGAGGGAATATAGCTAGGCTGTGTCCTGTCCACAAGCAACCCCAATTTACCTACCTCAGCTAGCATGGTGGGGTAAAAAGGGTAGTGGGAAAGGCTAGGATAGACTGCCACCTTTGGGTAGGGCATAGGGACTATAGACTAGTCATGGGAAGGCTCCATAGGGACAGGGATGGGGTGTAGAACAGTCTGTTCTCAGGGTGGAAGGAAGGGCTGGGGGGTCTGACCTGGTGAGTGTGGCTCAGCATGGCGGCTGAGGTGTCTAAGTTCAATGTAGAAGTCCTCGGGCGGGTACCTGGCCTCCAGGGCACTGATCTGGAAATGGGAGTCTAGTGAGAGGAATGACAGGGAGGAGCCATTATTCCCAAGGCCTGGATGGCAGGAGAAGGGGGTGGGAAGCAAAGGATGGGGTGAGGGGCAGACCAGAAGGAATCAAGGTCTTCATGTAACATCCAGAGGGGCTGGGGCATCTGTCTTTTTCTCCTCCCTTCCCATTCCATTCCACCCTCTACTAGGGCAGAAGGAGGAAGCCCTTGAAAAGTGCCAGGAGGAGGATCCTTTTCCATGGTGGCAAATAAACTTTCTGCTCCACCTGGGAATCTCTATATCCCATCCCTAAACTGGGCCATAACCACATGCTCCCTGTACACTTAACCACTGGGGAAGCCATGCTCAGGACTCAACTCGTTCGATTTGAGATGGGGCAGCTCCCTTCGGTACAGAGATCAGGGTGGGACTGGTGGGGAAGATGACTGAAACCGCTACTGACCTAACACGTTCACATAGCTGTAGGGGGTCCAGCCTGCTGTGTCTCTGTCAAGGGACTTGTTACTGAGCTGTTTGGAGAGGAGACAGTTAATACCTCATCTCTCTGCTGCCCTTCCCCAAGTTGGTGCTTGGCCCAGCCTTAGTGAACCCATCCCTGACATGGTCCTGAGCCCCTAGGCCCCGGATAACCAGATGCTATGTTATATGACAAGCTATCCTGCTGTAGTTGAAGCTAGTGAGAACAGAACATACCCAAACCAAGTTCTCAGGCGCCTGTGGCATACATGGGTAGAAACAGACATGCAGAGCTATGACGCAGGAAAAGAGGCTCTGTCGGTTCCCTGTGTGTAACGGCATCTCCAGCACAGAGGTACAGCTGCCTGCAGTGCTTGCCCTCTGGGCCATATATGAGAGTCTCTTTCATGTGACTAATGGTGCAGTACCCTCCCTGCATTCTCTTAGCTGCCCTTTGTGTGAAGCAAGGATGTTACTTCAGACATGGAACCATACTCATAGACACACAGGAGCCAGAGGCAAAAGTTGGCTCTTGAACTCAGATCTTAGCTGCCTGTCCCCTCAATGGCATCATGCCTACCTTTTGTGCAAATGATCTGCCAGGAGGGGTTCTTGACTACATAGGGCCAGTCTCAGCCCCTGTGAGGTGTGCCAAACCAGAGGGTCAGCAACTGGCCTCCTCTTCAGTACCTCCAGTTCTCTACTGAAAGAATGGCTGACTCTTAAATAATGACATGGCCTGGAACCTTTGTCTCATCCCTGGCTGGTACCTCTAGCCTGTTGCAGCTTTGATAACATGGCTGTAGTTAATCAAGAGCTACTTGTTGGGCAATTAAATTCTCTACCCTCAGCTCCTCAAGCTGGAAACAAGTATTGAGTAGAAGATGGCAGGCAGAGTGGTCAAAGCTATTGGGCCTATAGGTACCCTGCATGCAACCTGCCTGTTTGATAGAAAAGCAGACCCAGGTCTGTGGGCTGATGGTCAATGTTCAGGGAACAAGTGGGGAACATTCTCAGCTGCAAGGAAGACGCCCGAAATATGAAAGTTACGCTCCTGAGCCAGGATAGATGGTGCAGGAAGCCAGGTGTTCTGGGATTGTCACTCGCTAAACAGTCCTGCCATTCTGAGTATGTGTGTGTGGCACGTGTTTAGGTGGGTGTTAGGAAGTGTGCATAGCAAGTACCCCCTCAGAAACCTTATCTTTAGTGGGCTGTTGATGTCTGTCTCTCACTGGTCCATCAAAGGATGCACCACATGCTGTCTACACACATATATGCTAAGACATCTCTTTCTAAGGTTTGTAATATTTGTCACTAAGGACATCTGCCTATTCTATGACCGAGTGCTGTGCTTGGAGCTGTCAGGGAGGACACTGGTCCACCCCAACTCCCCTTTTCAGCAAGAACACTACAGTGTTTGGGTTCACATCAGACGTGCATATTTGATGAAGTTTATGCTCAAGTTTAAGAGGCATCAAGTGGTTAATTGAATGAACTACAGTTGCTTTAATACATTGCAGTAATCCATGATAAGTAATGTGTATGGTATACACAGGTGTGAGATAGGATATCTATCTGACATGTGATATTACTATGTTCTGGTAGATACTAGTTAACTACGCCTGAGATACAGGCGTGTGCCAACGAGTGGGCAATGTGGTGTGGTTTCATGGGATAGAGCTTGTCTACATACAACATACTCTTTCCCTGTTACACGATTCAGAGGATTCTCATGTCCCACGAGTCCTAGGACTGCTCTTAATGTAGAATTTCCACACAGCCTTTATGTGGGGGTGCAGTTCCTTCCTGGGCAGAGGGGAGTGCTAAATGGAGAGAATAGTGGGTGAGGATTGGGGAGCCAGGGGGCCAGTACCTTGGTGGGGCTGTTCCTGTCCAGAGTGCTGGCCTGGCTGGTGGCAGGCCCCCCACACGCCAGTGTGTGGTAGCTGGCATTGGAAAAGCACTGGGCATGGCTGCTACTTTGAGACAAATCTGGGAAGAGAACAAGGAGCCATATTCCATTATACACCTGCCCTTGGTTGAGATACCCCCCAAACTAATGCTGGGGGTGTGCAGTTTTGAGCAGAGAGGCAGCTGATGTCCCACATCCTCCAGCAAGCAGGAGAGAGCCCGCCAACTCTGTTCTCACTAATGCCTGCCCTCTTTGCAGCTCACGGACCAGGCTGGCTAGTATAGGGCAGCACGGCCAGCTGGAAGCTGCTGAGTGCTGGCTCTAACAGTTCTGTGTCTCTGAGTTGCTATTTTGGGTGGATTGACTTTCTCTTGAGTTCCCTTATGTTCAGACCCTAGTAATAAGCACTTCGAGAACTCCATTCTTGTTGACCCCAGCTCTTCTGAGGATTCTACAGGACTGGAAAAAATCCAGCCCTTCCTGCTCATTGTCATAAACTCGAAAGTTCTATGAGCCTTGGCCTTCATCAGAGGATGTTGCTTTGGCTTGCCCCAGGGTGGCTAGGAGGTCTCTAAATGCATTGTCTATACTGGGGCCGGCTCTTTCTATCTTGTTCCTGGCATAGAGCTATCACACAGAAGGTGACACTTAGCAGCAACGGCACATGTGGTCTGGGCACTCTGAAATTAAGCAAGCTATGAGCCATTGGAAAGGAACCACTCTCTCTCAACAGGGCAGTTTGGGAGCTTCTACTGGTTAGCTAAATATGAAGCACAAAGCCTTCTCTTCAAGGTCCCAGTCCAGGGGAAAGCAAAGGATCTGGTGCAGTTGCATACATACCAGCCTACCACAGGATGCCCATTGGCATTTCTACCGTATGTAGGCACATGTAGGCCTTTCCTACGTAAGGCACCACCTTTGCCAGTATGCTTCTTACACACTCCTTGGGGATGGCCTGAGACCATCCCAGAGGAAGCAAAAAGTGGATAGGATACAGCTTATCACGTGCCCTGGCTTCACACTGGGGAACTATTGTCTGGGTTGCTTTAAAAAGTCACTACTTACTGTGCATGCTCCTGTAGGCACAGCCATGTGAGGAGGATTGGGAAGTGGAGAGTGGCACTCAGACTTAGCTGTTAGGAGCTTGGGCTCCAGGAAGCAATTCCTCTTGGAATACCACATATTGCTCCCACCCCATTTTGTCTCTCTGGGGTGACCATCCCCAGCCACCTATCTGCAGATTTGACCACCCATGTTGATCCAGAATGTGGATGTCCTGAGAAGACCACGTGCTTCCTACCAGGTTGTATGGGTGAAGAAGAGATGCTGAGGCATAGCCTGACCTGAGAGAGAGTAGTCTGTGCTGGTCATCCTCATGGCTGGGGTATAGGAGACACGGGGAGCCAGGTCACGGCCTTTCTCTTTCTGCCGCCTCCGTCGCCAGGCAAACAGACCCAGCAACACCACAGCCAGGAACAACAGGAGGATGATGCCTGTGACGGCACCCACTGAATGCCGCTCTGCTCCCAGAGCTGGACTGATCTTGGTGTAGGGATTCAGCTCGTCCATCATGAGGGCAGCTGTGGGCAGAGAGAGGCCTGAGCCAGAGGTGGGCCTGATCCCAATGTTTCCATCCTGCCTTTGCCCCTTCACCCCTACCTAACCCAACCCTGTCTAACCCAACCCTCACAGTGCCTCCATTTCTTCCAATGCCAGAAAGTGATTGAGTCTCAGGGCTACAAGGAGAAAATGTGACTTACGTGTGAAGCAAAATAAATGCCTGCTGAATGCTGACCCACGCGTGAGTTAAAGTTACTTGCTTTATCACGGCAGGCCTACAGAAAGGGATCTAATTATTTACCCTTTCTACATGATTGGGAAAAAATAAATAAACTGAGTCACTAGGGTTAGGGAACTTGTCTAAGTTTACCCAACCAGTAGTTCAGTCAGGAAAAACTGGCTTCAGCTACTCCTCCTGCTCTACCAGCTATGTGACTTAGAAGGTTCGTGGGAACAGCAACTCCAGCTTCCTTGGGGGTTCATAACACCAAATGATAGACTAGCCTTGACAGCTGGGAACTCTGACTGCCTTTTACCGCCCCAAGACACCTCTTGATTATACATGTGTGGCTGAGTCCCTCTGAGACCGCCCTGGCAAGGGTCTGACCTCTAACTATGCAGCATCTAGACCTTCCCTTGGTTTTCTGCTACTGGCTGGAAAAAGCGGGTTGTCACTACCAGGAAGGCAAATGTTGCATTTGCCTCAGCCACCTAGCTTTACATTGCAAAGTAAGTGTGTCTGATGTGGGTTAACTGAGAGCCTGCTTTCTGTTTCCATCTTCTAGAACCAACAATATCCTCCCACGTCCACAAAACAAAAGGATTTCCCATGCACAAAGCCATCATTTACAGAGGGCTCACATGTGCCAAGCACTGTGCTGAGACCTTTCTTGAATTGATCCCTCTCTGCTGTATCATGCAATGTCACCTAGGCATAGAGCTAGAGTCAAATTGAGCCCTTTGGACAAAGGTTAACATCTACTCTATTGAATGTAGAGTAAAAGACCCAGCAAAGGAAATGACCTGCCCAGAGACACCTAGGAGGGAGTGGCAGAAGTCAAACTAGGCAGGTGTTCTAATTTGGCGTCCTTTCCCAGCACTGGCTTGTGGTTCATTCTTGCCTCACTCATGAGGGAACTACTAGAGGATAGAGAAGCTGTGAAGGGAGGTACCCAACTGTGAATAAAAGGTAATGTCATAGAACTCAACTGGCCTGCTTAGAACTCTCCGAAGCCACCAAGCACTGGACCCTTTCCACCCTGTCCAGGCACCTTGCCATCTCATCTGTATATTACCTTGGTCACACCTGATTCCTTTGAATCCTGGGCTGCAATAACAGGTACCAGTGACGTGGTCACAAGTGGCATTGTTCATGCACTCACATAGCTGCTGACACCCATATCCAAAGGTTCCAGGGGCACATCCTGTATGGCATGCAGAGTGCAAGCAGACAGTGAGACACAGCCACACTCCACTCCTCCCACTCCAGCTGGGGAAGCTCATAGCAAGAAGTCAACTCTGTCCCACCCACAGTGAAGCCTATTGAACTGGATTGCCCATTGTGCATAGGTAGCTGGGGATGTGTAGAGACAGGGCACACCCCTCCCTCCTGAGCTCATTTAAAGAGCTGGAAAATCCTGCCTTCATCTGGTCCCTCCTTGCTCTGCCCATCACACCCCAGCCCTATCGAAAGTGGAGAGAGAGCCTCACTGCGTGAGTGTATAGGGTTAGCCCTCAAGTCTCCTCAGAAGTTGTCCTCAAAGTCTGGAGTACAGGAGCCCAGTGCCCAGGATGGGGGTTGAGTATCAGGAGGATGGGGTTGAAAGAAGCAACTTTCCCAGGTTAGGGCAGCTTACTCTGTTCACAGTGGCGCCCAGAGAAGCCTGTTCGACAGGTGCATTTCCCAGTGATGTGGTCACAGCTGGCTCCATTCTGACACTGACATATGTGCCCACAGTCCTTCCCAAAGAATGCTGCAGGGCAACCTGCAACAAGACCACAAGTCACAGTTGGTGTGGGCTCAGGGAAACTGAAGAAATGTTGCTGGGACCAGGCTGGTCTGCTGCATCTTGCGCAGCATGGGATAAAGGCTAGCAAGGCCCACAGAGACATATGTACCCACTGAACCTTGGGCTAAAGGGGAGGAGGGTAGGGACAAGGTTATTCATGCAGCAAGGGCCTCAGCAGCAGAGGACAAGCTCTGGCCTCTTTGCTGTGCAACCCTGGGATTTCTTCCCCATGGTCCAAGGGTCTGATCTTGTTGATTGTCGGGATACCCTATAGCCCTGACCTTTCAGGACTTTGGATGATCCTGAGGTGTGGCTGGTCCTGGGGCCAGCCTCTTCCCTCCCTCTACAAACCAGGGCTATTTGCAAAGTGGCCAGTAGGCTGCAGCATATGACTGGGAGTGGCTGGGAGGCAGGGCTTACGCTGCGTGCAGAAGAGTCCAGTCCAACCAGGGGTGCAGTGGCAGGCCCCATCCTCGGCGCTACAGCTCGCCCCGTTGTGGCAGCTGCATGTGTGGAAGCAGGCAGAACCCCAGAACCCAGATGGGCAGGCTGTGGGGGGGTAGGTGGGATGCAGAGGGGGAGGGCAGGACAAAGGAGCAAGAGGAAGGAAGGGGAGGCGGGTACACATCAGAGCCAGAACACCTGGATGGACCCAGAGGGGCATCTCTTGGCCTCATCCTGTAGGATTGCTATGACGACCAGTCTCTGCCTACTCTAATCGTGGGTGACTTTAGGCAGCCCTACTCCAAAGGGCTCCTGCACCTCCATTCTTAGAGGAACTCACAGGGACAAGGGTGGAGTAACGCCGCAGGCACTGACTTCTCCACAGGTGGCAGGGGCTGTCTTCTCTTTGGGTTCTTGTGCTATTGGAGATTCGAGTCTGTGGCTTCCACCAAAATGGAATTCCTCCAGGTCCAGCCATTTAAATGGGACCTCCTTACAGGTACTGGCTATGTCTCACCCATCAGACAAGGAGCTTCATAGGCCAAGGCTAGGGCCCCTTTGGGAAGGGGTTGTTGCCTCGGTATCAGACTGTAGCACCATGTTCAGGCTTAGGGTGCTCAGGACATCACTCACAAGGGCCATCCCATGGGTGCTCCCATTCTTCCAAGGGTGGCTGTCCTAGCCTTGCCGTTCCCTCCTCCCCATCTGTATTCTGACTGCATCTCCTACAGGCAGATGCTTGTGGCATATGAATTCTCAGGATTCACAGCATTAATGGCACTGGCAGTATTGATGCCTTTAATACCCACAGTAACAGTACCCGTGATCAGTTCCAGTAACTCAAGTTTGACATAGAGCTAAATGGGACTTTCAGGGTCGGGGAACAGCGACATGGCTCAGTGGGTAAAGGCGCTTGCCACCCAAGCCTGTGGTGAACCAGAGTTTGATCCCTGGAACCCACATAAGAGTGGAAGAGAACTGGCACTACAGAGTTGGCCTCTCACCGCCACATCCTTGCTGTGGCGCTTATCATACACACAGAAACAATGCAAAGAAATAAACGGGCCTCGGGCGGATCCTCTTGTCTGCAGGGAGAGGAACACTTGCAGGGGCAGCAGCTTACCCTGTGAGCAATCCTTGCCAATCCACCCAGGGAAGCACTGACAGGAGCCGTCGATGGGGCTGCAGGTCCCGTTGTTGGCACAGGAACAGAGCTGAGCACAGTCCTGCCCGAAGTGCCCTCCAGCACACACTGTGGGCACACAGAAGCCTAGCACCAGACTTCCTTCCCAGGCTCTAAGAGCCACCACCCACCCACACAGCCACACCCCAAGAGGCCCTGTTATGATTCCTTTTACAGGGACAGGCTGAGGCCCATAGAGGGGATGTCACTTGTCTGGGTCTCACGGGTAGGAAGTCCTAGGAAGGAATTGACATCTCTGGACTCTCTGCTGAGTGTTCCTAGACTACCTCCCAGCCATCTGCTTTACCCTGAGTTATTTTTGACTAACCTAAACACATGGGCCACCACACACCCCCTTCTACAGACACTCCAGGCCTTTCTTCTCTGTGCTTTCCTATGGCTAATGCCATCAAAATTCCCATGACCTCATGTCCGGCTACAGATGTCCTGCCTATAAGACTCATCTTAAGTGTCACCTCCCTTGGAACAATAAGATGAAGCAAGACTTAAGACGCTGACGTCTTTGTCATCTACCCCAGGAGCCTACTTTTGGATCTTTTTGGTTTTCTTAGTATGTAGATGAAACAATGTATATCATCTTCAAGCCAGTTATTAGGGACTTTTATTAGGTTTTATCTGAACTTAGTCCTAGCTGTTCCATACATCTTCCATCTTCTGGGTAGCTATGTCCCTATCTGAGGCTTCAAGTAGCTTCTTCCTCAAACTCTCCTACTTGACAGTTGTTTTGGGCCAAGACTGAGTTCTACCCTTTCTGGTGTCCCCTACAGTGCCTGGAAAGAGAGCAGGCACTCAAGCCACCAGGACCAGACATCACCCTTCTCCCTGCCCCTGCACCTCTTCCCCCACCCCCACTCCTGTCCTCTGGCCTAAACTTTGCAAGGGCAGGAAATGTGGTCTCATTTTCTATTGTATCTGACTGTCCAGTGAACATTGAGGATGTAGACCTTGGGAATCAAAACCTTCCAGAAGGCTCCAATACTGCAGTCATCAGAGACCAGGAATAATATATTTCTTTAATATTTATTTATTTAGTGTGTCTGTGTGCAAGTATGTGCACATGTGAGCAGGTGCCTGTGGAAGACAGATGAAGACATCAGATCCCTTAGAAGTGGCAGTTGTGAGCTGCCTGGCATGGGTCCTAGAAAGCAAACTCAGCAGGCCCTCTCACCCACTGAGCCGTCTCTCTAGCCCTCATGGGATAGGTATTGATTTCTTGGAAGAAAACAGCTTCCTTTTGTTCAGGTCTCAAACCATGGATGCCATCCCCTCTGTTCCTTTCTTTATTCTGCCTACAACTGCCTGAAACTGCCAGCGCTTCCCTGACTGTAGGCACCTGGTAGCTAGGATACACATGTAGTCTGTACCTCTGCGGATATAGCTAGTGGTTGGGACAGTTGCTAAAGACAGGTGGACCAACTCTGCCTGAAGCTTTGGGTTTGGGTTTTGTTACGCATTCAGCAAGCATACATGGCATTGACATGCACCAGAAACTGATCAAAAGGTTTCACACATACTACTAAGTTCTCTTAATCTTGATAATGCCTTCATTGTTGCTCAAGGTCACGCTCTCTGTTCACAGTTACACAGCAAAGAAGTCCTACTGTTTCCTAGCTGGGGACATTTTAATAAAGCCCTTCACTTCCCACTCCACCCCCTAGGTCTGCTTCCTCATCAAGATGGGGACACCAGTCACCACTCAACGGCCTCAGGCCTTGGTTAGTAGCTACAGGTGGGCTGGCTGATCCGAGCTCCTGTTTGCTACTCAGGCTCTAATTCCTAAACTGCACGTTGCCCCACCTCCTTCTTGCCTCTGGGAGATGCTTTTTTCTGAGGGCCCAGTTCAAGCTCCATCATCCTGAAAAGATGGCTGGCTTCCTTGCACCCTCTCTGTTGGCTGAGCCAAAGGACTTGGTGGGGAGCATGGTGCTGGAGCTATGACACCGGCCTTCACCCCACAACTGCACTGCTCTAAGAAGGCAGTCTTCTCTTTGAAGTCTCCCTCCTCACAACCCACCCAAGGCAGACAAATTCACCCACAGAGCTGCTAATGTGATCGGCCTACTGCATTAATTGTCAGACTTCTTAACTTGAATCAAGAGCCAGGCATGGGAAGGGGAGGAGGGGGCTGGTGAAAAGAAAACATTGGGTTATATTTAATCTATGTTTAATGATTCTGGGGAAGCGCTGTCCATAATTTGTAACTCACTGGAAAGCCGGTCATTAGAAAGTGTCAGTTCAGTTTTTTTTTTTTTTTTTTTAAGGTTTGAGACTTAACCAGGGCAGTTGCCATTAATAGCAAACTCCATTAGATCTATATGTGGAAAAGACTCATTAGACCAGCGGGCAATAAATCAGACGCCATGGGCTGTGAGGGCTCCTTCTTGGGCTCCATAGCTCCTAATTTAGACTGGGCCTGGTTCTATTGACGGCCAGGTCTCCTATGTTTAATAAATAAACCCCAGCCTGTCAGGTGGTGATTAAAGCATCCTAAGAGGGCTGCAAGCAAATGAAACTGTCACATATGTTTCCCAGGGGGGCAAACTTCTCATGACCTCAACTCATCATGGAGTCAAACGTCTACTCAGGCATATTAAAAATAGCCCAGCTCAGCTGTGATGATGTAGCAAAAGCATGCTGCCCTGGAGGTAGTGAGCTCTTTGTCAAGAGAGGTGGTTAAATGCAGGCCAGGCGAGACTCTTGCCTTGGTGACTTTGAAGATGTCTTTAGCTCTGAGTTCACTTTATTCTCAAATCCCTTCATTCATACTGACTGTGGTGTAAATTCTGCAAACTAGTATCCAAGCAAGGCCATATTCTAAGCTGTTAAGTGATCCCTAGTCTCCTTTCCAGCAGATAGAATCTTGTTAAGTAGCCCAGGCTGGCCTCAAACATCTAATTCTCCTATCTCAGCCTCCCAAGTGTTGGGATTACATGGTTATGTACTACCATGGCTGGATCCATTTTTTCATTTTTTTTTTAGCAGAATATTGGAGTCTGAATTCATATCTGCTGCTTGCTAGCTGTGAGGCCTGCAGACATGATATGTGTGACCTCTTTGAGCCTATCCCTTCAACCGCACAGTGATTTTTTTTTTCTTATTCCAACAGCATAAGAAGAGAATCCCTAGACCCTTCCTTCTTTCTGCCCCTTTGTTCCCTGCCCTGGCCTCCCCATTAGTTGCGGGTACCTTGGTTGCACAAGGCTCCAGAGAATCCTGGCAGGCATTCGCAGATGCCAGTGATGTGGTGGCAGGGTCCCCTGCTGTGCACGCAGAGGGGACAAGGCTGGGCACAGCCATGGCCGTAGAATCCTGGTGGGCAGACTGAGAGTGTTAGAGAGGAGATGGTAGTCAGAAGCTTGTAGGAACAGCTGGCCTAACTGCCTCTCCCCCATCCCAGTGAAGAAAGGTGCCTTGAAAATGGGGAAGTCTAGAGTCCCCCCACCTGGAAGTCCATCCCTTTTAAAGACAATTGTGGGCTGACCCTGATTTTATTGAGAACCTAGACGTTGAACTTGGAGACAGAACAGCCATTACAGAGGAGCAAGGACAAAATGGAGTGAAGAGGGGCCTGGCTCCCATAGGCCAGCCTTCTACAGGCCAGCACTACTTCTGACTGGGCGGGGCTCGGTGAGTGGGAAATCAGAAGTCCTTGGGGTGGGGGCCTAGCCTTACTTCTCTGACATAAGGGTCCTCGGAAGCCAGGGGCACACTCGCAGCTCCCGTCCTCTGGGGAACAGGAGCCTCCGTTCTCACAGCTGCAAGACACTGAACAGTTGGGGCCCCAGCGGCCTGGAGGACACGTGCTGTCACAGCGGATACCTGTGGACCAGACACAGAGGCAGGTCAGTGGGAGATGAAGGCAGGGGGAAGATGGAGGGAAATCCTGTGGAAATGGGGCTGGTAGAGGGCTTCTGGCAGCAGAGGATGCCCTTCCAGAATCCTCAAAGGCAAAAAGAACTGACCAAGCAAAGACGGTCATAAAAGCAGAGAACAGGCAACAAAAGAAGTCACTATAGCTTGGACTCGAACACAGCACAACGGCAGACCCATGGCATACTTGACTAGCCCAGCGAGAGAGGAGATGGCAGTACCAGATGAGGAAGGTCGCCTCCACCTTCACAGCTGAGCTGGCGTCAAGAGCGTGTCAGGCCAGTGAGATGGCTCGTCTCGGCTAAAGTTACTCGGTAGGAAAGCCTAGTGACCTGAGTTCTAAGAGCCACATAACAGTGGAAGGAGGGAACTGCCTGTCCAGAGTTTTCCTTGTCTGTCTGTCTGTCTGTCTGTCTGTCTATCCATCTATCCATCTATCTATCTTTTAATTTAAAAAGAAATATAAGGCCATCCTAACTATGTAGAAAGTTCAAGGCCAGCCAAGGCTATATGAGACCGTTTCAAAAGAAAATATGTGTACATAGATACACACACATATAGTACATATCTTATATCACATATACACACACGTATAAAAGAAACTAAAAGTGCTAGCTATACCCTAAATATGCTGATAAATAACCCTCAGCTTGACAAACAGCAGCCTATGGGAAAATGTGTGGACTATCTCAAAGAGAGAGAAAACAAGATCTACAGTTCCCCCCCACCCCCGGCAACCCCCAAGCTCAAAGAATATTTGAGCTGAGCCAATTTCAACTTGGAGGCTAAGTAGGAATTTTAGCCTCCAGGGTGGGGGTTGCTTCCAGGCAGAGCAGCTTCCAGGCTGACACGGGTGTGTTAGGTGATTGAACCAGGCCCAGAAGACAAGCCAGTCTTTGGAAGGCAAGCTTCAGAGGCTCCGGAGGCACAGGATTATCTTAAAAGCCGTGTCTGCCTTGTTATAAGGACAGAGACTGTGAGAAAGAGAAACGACCAGGGAAGACCCAGTGAACACTGAAGGGGAGCAGCGGGACCAATTTGGAGGAGTTGAGACTCTGCAGGCTCACCTGTAGGAGAGGGAGGGAACACAGGTACAGCAGCCCGGTGGAGAGCCCGGGTGGGGAGCTGCCAGGGATGTCTTCCCTTCTTGTGCCCTAACTTGTGTCTTAGCTTTGCTGGGGTTGGAGAGGGAGCACCCAGGTGTAATTCCCAGTACCCCCATAATGGCTCACAACCATCTGTAACTTGTTCCAGCTTCAGAAAGTGGAGACTAGATTGCCCGGAGCAAACTGGCTAGTGAGACTAGTCACATGGGTGAGCTCTCTGATTGAGAGACTCTGTCTCAGTGAACGAGGTAGCAGAGAATGATTCTACCTTGATTGAGGATGATTCCCGACAGCAACCCCAGGCCTTTGTGTGCATATACATATAAACATGCAACCTCCCTACGTATGCCCACGAATGTATATTACATATTCTAATCATTCTCATTCATATTCTCCTTCTCCCCCCTCGGCCCCCCCCCCCCCCCGGAAAGTGAAAACAAACTCAAAAGACCTCTCCCTTCCTACCTGGAGGATGAGCTCACCCAGCGTTCAGGAGCCACTCCCCCACATACTAATGGGTAGTTACAATGTAGAACTAATGGCAGTTCTTCACACTTGAAGAACCCATGCTCACAGCCAGCACTCATACAGCAGCAAGCCCTGCTCTCGGAAGCCTTCCTGCCTGTCTGCCCAGGGGTCCAAACATCTGTATCCACCCATTACAGCTGTTTCATTCAAACAACTGGCCCCTACCTCCCCTGCCAGGGATGTGAAGAAGGGGGCAGTGGCTTCCTGAAACTCATTCCTGCTGACCAAGTTGCTCCTCACAGCAGAGACACCACCTGGGGCATTTTTGTAATACTAAAGATACAGGAATTCAAAGTCATCCTTAGCTACATAGCAAGTTTGAGCCAACCTGGGCTATGTGAGATCCAGTCTCAAAAGTGCACAACCAAATGACTTACCTACTAAGTGAAAAGTCTTCTAAAAATGTGGCCTGGGCCTCTCCTCCTGTTGACACTAATATTCTGATGCCTCCTGAGTCCTATATAAGAGCCAGAGGAGATAATCTCTACGCTACTATGTGTGGTCACGGGCTGACTTTTTTCCAGTGGACTTCAAGAAGCATTTTGTGAGCACCTATTATGTTCAGAGCAAGGTAAATAAGACATGAGGGGAGCTCTCATGAGAGGGCAGAGGATATGCCTAAGTCAGATGGGGAGGTGAGCAGGGCTTTCAGGGAAGGTGCTCACTGTGTGGGAGGCCCAGGATCTGCCTCTCACCCCCACCCCCTGTCTTTCCTGGCCTTGTTCTACATGATAAATCTCAGACATCAATCACTTGTTTGAGAAGACTTCAAGACCATCTTTGGAGAAACGGGCTTTGGAACCAGCAGAGGCCTAGCTGAGACGCTGTCCATCTAAGCCAGAATTTTTTTTTAACGTTGTCATTAAAGTGGGTGTCATTAAAATCAGATCGCCTCTATCAAAATTAAGGTACTGAACATTTCAAGGCTGTAACTGACAGTGTAGGGACCATGAGAGGCGGGGCTTTGGTCCACACTGAGGGAGAGCTGGGAGGCCAGGGGAACCTCTACCTGACATGCTGTAAAGCTGTGGTTCTCAACCTGTGGTCACCGTCCCTTTGGGGTTTGAACAACCCTTTCACACGGGTATTTACATTATGATTCCTAGCAGCAAAATTACAGTTATGAAGTAGCAGCAAAAATAATTTTATGGTTGGGGAATCACAACAACATGAAGAACTGTATTAGAGGATTGCAGCCTTAGGAAGGCTGAGAACCACTGCTGTAAAGGAATGTCCCTAGCCTTCAGCTGTCAGGATAAAGGTGAGTAGCATCCTACAGAGTTAAACAGCAGGATCAGCCCAGCCAGTGGTCACTGACATCTACGGTGCTACTGAAAGCTTCCTGCAGCAGTGGTTTATGTCACAGGCCACTGTGTGCCAGGTGCTGAGCCCTTAACAGTGAGTGCCCTCCACTGAAACTTCAAAGTGGTCCCAAGGTTCCCCGTGAAGATTCCAATTGCCTGTGTCTTATGGATGGAGGCTTCAGGCCATGCAGAGTGGAGGACTTGGAAGTTCGCAAGCCCAAGCCTTCTGGCTGCAGCTCAGTTCTTACTCATCTGGTTTCCTTTGCCCAGTTTGTGGCAGACAGTGGGTGCAGGGATGCCTAAGGCAGATTTCTTCCTAGGACTGCTATAGAAACGGTTATCTCAAATCAGAATCTAAGGTCAGGTGCTGCAGAGAAGGGTCAGCAGAATTCATAAGTGGGTGGTCCTGGGTGGGTAACCCATAGACAACCTACAACTTGAAACCTGGTGAATAGGAAGGAGTTATTGGGGCTGGGGTGTGGCTCACTGGCACGACACTTGCCCAGCTCCTTAAATGAAGGGAAAGGGACTTGTTGGTAAGATGGGGGGGCATCAAGAGTGAGGGGAAGGAATTAGGGCAGATAATGGTGGTGCTTGCCTATAAAACCAGCCCCAGCACTTGAAGGCTGAGGCAGGAGAAGATACAGAGAGTTCAAGGCCAGACCACGATAAATGGTAAGTTCCAGGCTAGACACTGCTACACAATAAGATCTAGCTTTCATAAAAATAAATAAAGTTAACTTTGGCCCAGGAGTGTGGAATCATTGAGACAGAAATAGGGCAGGAAAGAGGATCTGGCCAGTCCTACGTCACAGGGGCAGGACCTTTAGAAGTCTGGATTTTGTTGTTGTTTTGTTACTGTTTTTGTTTTTCCATGACAAGGTCTCATGTAGCCAAGGTTAGCCTTAAACTTGCTATGTAGCCAAGGATGACCTTGAACTTCTGATCTTTCTGTCTCTCCGGAGTGCTGGGATTACATGTGTGCAGTGCTGCATCTGGCCAGGACTGAGATCCAGCATCAATTCAATGAAGCCACAGAATTGAAAAGACTGGTTTGGACAATGCCACTGGTCACCATTTGCAGAGTGGATTCACCTGGATAAAGTGGAAGGCAGGAAACCTACCAGGAGATGAAGGCAGATCTGATGAGAGAGGGGCCCATGGTATCAGTGGGCTACAGAGGAGTGTCAGGAATCCCCTTTCATGCAGCAGGACGGTTTACAGGGTAGACATAAGGATTGGGGTTCTGAAGCGCCATGTTCTCTATGCACAGACTGAATACATGTCAGCATTGAAATGTGTTGTCCCAAAAACAGAATCTCAGTATAACGTGTCCTTAATAAATATCTCCTTACTGGGCTGAAAGGGAACAGATGAAGGGGAGGTACACATTTGGGAGCAGGAAGAAAATGATAGGAGATGAACAGTTTTGAGGAAGGAGGGAAAACCAAGAGCCTGGCTTCCCAGGGCCCGGCAGTGAGTGGCAGGGCAGACGTTACCTGTCCATCCTGCCAGGCAGCAGCAGTGGCCTGTGACAGGGTCACAGCCATTAGCATGGCTGCAGTCACAGTGCTCAGTGCAGTTCAGCCCAAACGTGCCGTCCTGTGGGGAAGAAGGAGAGAAGAATCATACCTCGGCTCCTAGAAGGTCACACACTCCCGTCAGCTCTTCAGGGATCCAGAGATGGGCCTAGGGCACAGCCATGATGCTCTGTAACTGGGTACCAACAGGGCTATGAAGTCCTAACAACCATCTGGCCAGTATTAATAGGGATAGGAGAGAAGGTAATGAAGAGGACCTGCCTCCAGGTGGCATTAAATATACCCAGTATAGCCTCCAGGTGGTTGTTAAAATTGTAGATTAATGCATTTTGTTGTTGACAGGAATGGGGGGGGAGGATTTTCTTGTAATCTTAGCAGTTGGGAGGCAGAGGCAGAAGGATTGCTATGAGCTCAAGACCAGCCTGAGTTACACTGTGAGATCTTATCTCACAAAACATAACATAATATACTTTGTCAGTTGTGGGGAACGAGGGTAGCCTACTCTTGTCCCCGGAGAAGGAAATGGCAGCCTCATTTCTTACATGCTTACAAGGTCTCAGATGCCCGCTCTGCCATTATTCTAGGATGGCTCTGCCCATTCCAACCTTAGAAATGAGAAGCAGCAGGAGACACACACTCAAGAAGGCAGGATCAGGGTCTCAAAGTCGATACCCAGTCTCTGCCTAAGAATCAGTGCTTGAAGAGCGGGGGTTGTTGCTGGATGGTTTGGTTCCATGCCCTGTCCCTAGCAGTGGCCAGACTGCAACTCAGCTGCTACCCAGAAAGAGCACTCTGCTAGGCTGGGGAGGACGGAGAGTATCCTGGCAAGGTAGATTCTATAGCTGCCAGTCAGTGTGCTCTGCCTATCAACGGAGCAATAGAAAAGCACTTCTGCCTGAGTGGCCATTTTACAGACAGAAGGGTTGAGGCCTAGGATAAGAAGCTACACAGAGGTTAACTCTCCCTGACTCAGGGCTCTTCTCTGGATTCAGGAAGAAGGCACAAGAGATCGAAGCCGGTACTCACCGGGCAAGGCAGTTCGCAGGAGTCCCCGAGCCAGCCTGAGGTACAGGCACAGGAGCCATCAAAGGGGCTGCAGGCAGCTCCATTGGCACAGATACAACTCTCATTGCAATTCAGACCCCAGGTCCCACTGGGACAGGGCAGAGAGCAATCCAGGCCCTGCCACCCTGGGGAAAGGACAAAGGGCATCAGCTGGCCATGCCCAGCATAACTTCCCACCCACTTCCCCCACCACTGGTAACATCCGTGTCACCAGTTATCTACACACACACACATACACACACACACACACACCCCCGCCTCCCCGCCTCAGGGCTTATACCATTTCTGCTGCCTGTGGATGGCCCCACTGGGACTCAGGATCAACTCAGAAGGCATTTTCCCCCTAGGCCAGGGGTGGGCTTTCAGCAGCTTATCTCCTTCCTGAAGCCTGTCTGCTCCTGCACCTAGGACTGAACCCCTCCTTCCTCTGTTCCCTGAAGCAGGAGGCTATTCCTGAGGATTGCAGCTGCTGCCTCTAGGCAAGCTTCCTAAAAGAGACCTGGCCCCAAGACCAGAATGAGAAAGGAGCCAGGTGCACCCTCTTCTCTCCCTTCATTATGTAGCCCAGGATAACCCAGAGCTACAGTTTCTCCTGGTTCTGCTTCCCAAGTGCCGGGATTAAAGGTGTCTGACAACATACGTGGCATGTCAGGCCTTTGCCTCGGACTGTGTCTCTTTGGACCACTGCTGCCTCCACAAAGCACGTTTAGCTCTCAGTAAGTGAGTCTCTCATCCAGGCTGAGGGAACTCTGTCTCCCCATATTGTCCCTGCAGCCTCCTACACTCCTCCTCTGTCTTCCTGCTGTGGCTTTCCTTGGCTGGAACCTGACCTATGCACTCTATGACCCCAAGTGGTGGGTGGGCTTAAACAGCCCTACCTGAGATGCTTGGCTGTTGGCACCGCCCACGTAAGCCCGGGACTAGGACTGGAGGGAAACTTACCCTCTCGGCAGGTGCAGGAGCCATCCACAGGGGAACAGGTGCCTCCATTGCTACAGCTACATACAGACGAGCAGTTGGGACCATAGGTCCCTGCAGCACAGGGGACAGCACACACCTCTCCCTGCACAAAGAGGGCCTGGGTGTGAGACGAGAGGTGGTGCCCCTCCCGACATCCATGCTTCCATCCCCAGTACCTTCTGTTCTCTTTGAGACAGGGTCTCACTATGTAGCCCCAGCTTCACTCAAACTGACAGAGATCTGCCTGCCTCTGCTGGAGAGGGAGAGTGGGTTTAAAGGCATGTACCGCCACACCTGGCCCTTCTATATGTGGCAAAAGGAAGTCTGTAGATGTGACAGAAGACCTTAAGACAGAGAAACTAAGGCACGTGGATCCTGGAAGTAGGCCCGATATCTCACCAGTCCTTAAAGTCAAGTGATTAGAGAGGGTAGGTCGGAGACACATATCCTAAATCCTCCACTTGGCTCATGACTTAGAAGACAGCAGGAGGGAACCCACAAACAATGAATTTTGGGGGAGCGAGGAGGTTGGGGGCGAGAAGAATGGGGGTCGGGGACGTCACAGGGTTTCCTGTTTTACAGGCTGGCCTCAAATTTGATGTGTAGATGGGGATGAACTTGAACTTCTGATTCTTCTGCCTCCACTTCCAGCTTGCTGAAATCAGAGGCCAGTGGCAGTCACATGCCACGGTTTCAACTGTTTTAATTTGCACCAGCTTGTTACATAGAGGGACAGCCCATTCCCCATCTGCTGGTGTCTCAGGGAGGAGAGATGGCACTGACAATGGCTTTTGAGCTCTCTCTCTCTCTCTCTCTCTCTCTCTCTCTCTGGGTCATACGCGCTGTGCTTCATCTCTTAATTCTCACCACATCTCAGAGACACAGACTATTGCTTCCTATCTTCCCGTGACTCAGCAGAAGCAGTTACGTGAGAAAGTCATGTAACATAATGGCCCAGGTCACAGAACTCAAACTGGAGGGGGTCTCTTTGGCCCCAGGCTGGCTACTTAATCACATCACTGTGTGCTGAGAACCAGACTCTCTGGGGACTATTTTGGGACTTGGGGATACTGATCTAAGACGTCTTAGACCCTAAGGTGGGGTCAGATACTGATCTAAGACAACCCTAAGGTGGGGTCAGGAAAGATGACTAGGCAGGCAGAAGGTAAGAGAGAGGCCTCTGCAAGGATGGTCTGCCCTAGCAGGCAGAAAGCTCAGGGGATGAAGGCACCCTGAAAATTACCTGTGAGGGGGGCATTGCATCTGTGTCAGTCATAGACTATCTGCCATCCAAGGATGGCATGACTCCCAGGGGAGTTGGTTGCTCTCAAGGCCAAGTTCTAAAATGGGGCTCAGCAGAGGGGCTCACTGATTTCTAGCCCCAAGGGTGTATATATAGGTAGGACAACCCAGGGTCCTGGCAGTGGTGGTGGAGTGGGGGAGGAGGAGTTAAGAGGGGCAAGTACAGGGCATAGGCTAGGAGTGAGGACCTCTGAGTCTCTGTGGGGCAGGGAAATCAAGGCTGCCCAGGATGGAGCTTGTTGTAGGCAAGACAACAGCAGCACAGGTTGGGGGTGTGCCAAAACTAAACAACTTTAGAGCAGCCTGGGAGACAACTGGAGCTCATTAGGCCCTGGGTTCGATCCCCTGCGTAAAGTGGGCATGGTGGTACGCACCTGGAATTCTAGCACTCGGGAGGTGGAGACAGGAGGATCATCTTCAACTACATAGTGAGTTCAGGGCCAGCGTGAAACCCTATTTCTGTATCTGTAACAGGGACCAGACCTTAGTAGGCCCACAGACCTTAGCACAATTGACTTCATGGAGGAGTCATTCAGGCTATAAAACTCAGCACCTTGACAACACCATTTACCAAAACTAAAACGAAGACCTAATCCATCAAAGTTTACAGTTCTGGGAAGGTCTCAAAATGTAGTCAAAAGCTCTTGCTTTTGGCTTCTGCAGTTTCACTTCTGGTTAACTGTTCTTGTCAATCCAGAACATGGTTTCTGTGCTTAAAAGCTCACCCTGAGAAAGGCTTAGTGTTACACTGGGATTCCAAACACCCAGTGTAGTCTCTACCCAGCTAATAATGTCTTTCTGTTGGCTTAAACTCATGGCCAAGCAGTCTTCCCTGGTGGATATCCAACAACATCTCAAAGCATGAAACGAAACAAGCAGGAGGTATGGAAAGGGCTTGGAGAGATGGCTTAGTAGTTAATCATGCTTGCGGCTCCCCAAAAGGACCTGAATCCTGTCCCCAGCACCTACACCGAACATCTCAAACCACCTGTGACTTCAGCTCCAAGGAATCTAATGACTTCTTTTGACTTCTGTATACATATGGCATACACTCACAGGTACACAGCTAAGCAAGCACATCAGTAAAAATATTTTTTTTGAGACAGAATTTCTCTGTGTAGCCCTGACTGTCCTGGAACTTGCTCTGTAGACCAGGCTGGTCTTGAACTCAAAGATCCACCTGCCTCTGCCTCCAAGTGCTGGGATTAAACACATGCACCACCACTACTGCCACCTAACAATAAAAATGAAACAGAAAATCCCTCTTTAATTAAAAAATTAATAAAGGGACAGGCAGTAGTGGTGCACACATTTAATCTCAGCACTCAGGAGGCAGTGGCAGGTGGCTCTCTGAGTTTAAGACCAGTCTGATCTATAGAGTGAGTTCCTGGAAAGCCAAGGCTACACAGTGAAATCCTTTCTCGAAAACAACAACAACAGCAATAATAATAACAGATGGTAATCTGGCTATATAAGTGGTAGAATATTTGTCTAGCATGTGCAAGGCCCTGGGTTAACCCCCCCCACCTCCATTCCCCCCATTCCACAAAATAAGTAAGCCTTATCTAAGCCTTACTATTTGTGGAAACATATCTTATAAAAAGAATATGACAAGAGCCTGAAGATACAGTTCCAGCTTAAGAGCACTGGCTGCTCTTCCCGAGAACCCGGGTTTGATTCTCAGCACCCACATGGCAGCTCACAACCATCTATAACTTCTATAACAAGATACCTTTGTCTGGCCTCACTGAGCACCAGGCACACATGTCGAGTACAGACATACATTCAGGCAAAATACCCATACACACAAACAAAAAAAATAGTAAAATCAAAATTAAAGGAAAAAAAAAAAGAACATGATAGGTCCCTTGGGATTTAAGCAGCAGGAAGTGGGGAAGGAAAGGTCCAACTCTCACCAACTCAGTGATGCCAGGCTGGCCACAGAGGAGGCATGTGTTCTCAGAGGGCAGAAGCCCAACTCGAAGGCCTCTGTTTTCCCATCAGCCCCGTAAGCTTGCTGTTTATTCCCTTCTCACATTATTAACTCTCAAACACTAAGTGCTTAGCCTTAGGGACGAGGAGGCCCGTTCCCTACAAGGCCACCTTATGCCAAGTGATGTTTTAAACACTTTCACTTGTTCCTAAAAGGAAAAAAAATGGAGAATCTGGGCCTGGTGGTACCAGCCTCTAACCCCAGCTACTCGGGAGATTGAGAGGCAGGAAGAATATAAATTTCAGGCCAGCCTGGACTATGGAGTGAGTTCAAGGACACCCCGGACAACTTAGTAAACCTTGTCTCAAAGTAAAAAGGACAGCAACTTTGTAAAAATGTCACAAACACGACATCTCAGCAAGTAGAAGCATTTGTTATACAAGCCTGCCCACCTGAGTTCGATCCTGGAACCCACATGAAGCTAGGAGAGGAGTGAGTCCAGAGAATAGTCCTCTGATCTCCACACATGCACACGCACAACACACACAACACACACACACACACACACACCTATAACAATAATGAATAAAAACGAAACAACAAAAAATGAAAACGAAGCACTTTCCGAGACCTATATGTGGGTGTGCACTATTCTGCCTCAGACTGCTGATGGAATTTTGTTAATGGGAAATTGGACTTTCCCTAGGAATCTCATGCTGAGGAGGAAAAGGCTGAGGACCTAATGCTGACCAGATGAGGACTTTGTCTCCCAGGAGGAAACTTCACACACCCTTGCAGGAGGCTGCAGTGTAGATGACAATGATGATGGTGATGGGGGTGTCCCCACATCTTGACCATGACGGCTTAGTTATGTATACCTCAACCCTTCTAACATGAACCTCATGTCAAGACTCAAGGATAGGCAAAGTGGTGGGAGTGGGGTGTCACTGGGCTTCTGTGGCCATACGCCATATTGAATACATCTCCTTTTCTACTTTCACTATTGCCTATCTGCTTAACTGGCCCTCTGAGGACAGGTGGCAGAGACTAGCTGTTAGAACTACCAAGGGCCCACACAGTGACCCCGACAACTCCAGGGATGGTCTCTTGTCTGGCTTCCCTTTCATGCCTACGCTTAATTCTATACTGAATCCTTTTAAAAAGTAATCTCCATTTCTGCTTATCACGGACGGGCCCTGAAACTGCTGTGGTCAAGAATCCTGTTCTCTGCAGTGGAGAACTCTGAGACAACACCTCATGTTGCTATGGATGACAGTACAAGGCTGTCCCTACCAGCCGACTCTCTCTTGTCTGTTTACACAGTACATTCACTGACTAAGAACAGTGGGACATCAAAGGATGTACCCGTGTCTGGACCCAGATGCACCGGTGCCTGTGTGTTCTGCTATTCCATCTAAGACACGGAAAACTTCCAGGAAGGAGAAGCCTCCACCCACAGAATCTTGTCCCCGTTTCCCACAACAGGCTGCTTGCCAGTACTCCACCAGGCCTCTTCATCCTGCTCCAGGAGGCGGCTGTGGACTTTCGTCCTCCTCTGTGAGGCCTGTTAATTATGAATGCGGAATGGGCCGCTAACATCCTGAACCTGATCTAAGAGTTGCTGATGGCATGGAACTCTGCTGCTTCTGACAGACCGAAGCCTCTCCTTCTGCCTGCCTCGCTGGACGCAACCCTGGTGCCTTCTATGTCCCGTAAAATTTGTTTCGAATGTTGCTTGCTGGCTTTTTCTCCTTTGCAATATGCCGCTTTGTAGTTTGGCTCTGTTTTGGAAAAATTAACTGACAGCTGGGCCTCTTATGCCGATTATCCCTTCCCCTCGAAACGGTCAAGAGGTTAATGAGTGTTTT